GCGCAGGGCACTCACTCCACTCTTGAGCTGATCCATCACCCCATCGCCACTTCACAACCTGCACCGTGTGCATGACCGCTTTGTTGGCACTTGATGCCCCGGACCAGTAATCAGCAGCAAGGATCATCTGCGGCGCCTGTCGCCGCGTGAATGAGTGGAAAATTTCCTGCCTCAGGGCCATCCAATACGACGCCCGGATCAAACTCCTGCGACCAAACAGCGTCTGCGACGGAGGGCTTCGCAGCACAGCATCGATGATGGGCAGGAAGTTAATCTGCTTTTGCATCGGCTGAACGGCGAAGGGCTGCGGACCCTCCTCTGAAGCGCCCTCCTCTTCGTCATCGATCTCTTCCAGCTGACGGAGTAGCACGCACGTCGCGATGATGCTGTCTCGATACTCATCGTCCTGGGCGTCGTGGAAGTGGCGCAGAGCGGGGATACATCTGAGCATGTACTCCACGGAAGAATGCCTGTCGAGCTTTGGCAACAGCTGGCCAAAGTAGACGACTCCCTGGGGCGTCTTGAATTGCGGCATGCGGCTGAGATGTCGAGCCGCAAGGGCAAAAATTGCATTGAGGAGGTGTGGCTGCGTGCGCGCGCGGAATGGGACTACGACCTCGAAGTGTCTTTCAGGATCAGCGAGGTCAAGCTGGGATGGGAATGAGGGTTAGCAAAGATGTGATATTGGATGATAAACAGATGGAGGGTTTCTGGAAGGGGCTTTATCCTACCCAATGTGCCAGTTCGTAGATGTAATAGCTCATTAGGCAGGCTTCTTGGGGATCCTCGAGCGGGAACCGTCGATACTCCTCGCTCTGCCCTTGAACCAGTGGTGGTAGCGAAAAGCTGCCTGACCGAGCAGCCGACCAGGGTTTGACTGGGTGAGGTGGCCACAAGGGTGGGAGGTCAGTGCCCGAGAGCATATTCGACGTTGGGGAAGGGGCGAAGGCATCTGCAATCGGCGGAAGAGTCTCGTTCCATGCATGATGAGGCTCATGCGGCTGATCATACTCTTGCGTGTCCTCCCGCGGCGTCAGAAGCTCCTGGGGCTTGTCGATCTTGCGACGCTTGGCCGGCGTGGCAGCAGAGGTGGTAGTAGAGAGGGGACTCGCCGATGCACACGTCGACCCCAGATCTGCCGAGCCAGAGGTGGTGAACAGAGGACTTCGGTCCTGCGACATGCGGTCTCTCAAGCTGAGCTCATCGGCGCCTCGTGATTCCGGACGTCCGGCCCCTGATACCCCTGATCCTGATGCTGGGGATGAGGCTGCGGCGGAAGCAGTCGCGGGGCCTGGTGCAGGCGTATGCGCGTCGAACTGGAACAGTTTGGCCTGGCTGCTTACCCATTTCTGATCCTTGGAGAAGTTGGCAGATGAATCATGATGGAACACGGTCTTTTTCGATGGACGCTCGCAGGTCAGCCCCTTTGACTCACAACGGCCGCATTTCGGCTGCTGGTCGTCGCCTGCACATGATGGAACAATGTTAGCGACCGCTCGTCACCTCAGTCCATCCAATTGATCAAAAGCTCTCAATTCGCGCAATGGCGACGAGCTGGGCAACACCCACATTTGACGTGCTTCTCTGGATCGCGAGTCAGTCAATTGGGACATAGCCAAGGCATTGGGGAACCTACCCTTGCATTGGAGGCATGGGATCTTGACGACGGGCATTGCAACGAGAGCGCTCTCCTCCTCTCCGCTCGCGTTCCCGCAGCTCTCGATGACAGATATTGGATGGAGGAGAGGGTCTGAGGCTCACGGATGAGCGGTTGATGGGCGCAGAGGGAAGATTGAGTCGGGGAACCCCATACCAGAACCGAGCGTCATCACAAACTGGGATTAGGCCTGGGGTAAGGTGGAAGATTCGCGAGACGTACGAGCAAATGAGCGACTGCTTATTGAGGCATCAATGCAGATTTGGGGTGGAGCACGTGGGGGGAAGAGACGCGAGCAGACTTTTCTCTGGGCGAGATCGATATCCCCAATATCCATAATTATGGAGTTGCGATCCGGGGAGAGGAGTTTCTGGCCCCTTTGGGCGGTTTAGGCGCATCGATAGCGTGGCAATGCCCTGAGTCTCAGCGCCCTTCAGCGCATCACAGCACCTGGCATCCGCTACACCGGCTGCTCCAACCCCTGAAGGCTCCGAGCTCGGGAGATTTGGGGTCGCGGACAGCTTCGAATTTACTGTTGCTGGCTTAGTGTCGCCGCTATTCGTGGTCACAAGACCTCGGTTTCCATCGCTTCTCCACAGTTGATGCACATCGTGAGCTTCGGGGCAGCCTAGTTTTTCGTTAATTCTACCTTCGTTTACCGCAGGTACCTATCACCATCAATATGGACCATCACTACGCCCAGACACGGCAGACACCGTCTTGGTCACCATGATCCCCTCCAACTGTTCGTCACTCCCAGAGTTCCTCGTCACAGCAGCTCTGAAGCCCCCCATCTGCCCTCCTCTCGTTTCCAGCTCTATCTCCTCGCCCAATTCAACCTGGCTCTCACCGACTTGGCCTCTGTCGTGGGATCTATAGTATCGGTTGTCGCCAATTTGATGAAAGTCCTTGCGCGTCCGGGTAGAATTCGAGTTCGATCCCGTGGTTGTATCCTTGCCATAACTGCCACTCGATATGGTAGACGCAAGCCACGGGATGAAGCGTTTCGTAAGCTTCCGCATTGCAGGCAGGCACACCACAATGATGGAGACCGAGAGTTCAATCCCCGTCCAGACAATCGTCTCTGTATAGTCCCAGGTCGGGTTCACGGACTGGCCGGATCGTGCGATGTACTGCAGCCGGATACACGACGTGATGGTGATGAAGATTCCCAGGCTGAACATGACGAAGATGCCAAACTTCTCCTTCCTCGCCATCTTGAGATTCCACAGCAAGGGCAGCGGCAGCGTGATGACGAGGGCGTCCTGGAAGATGCTGAATCCGGCGGCGAGCACGGTGAGGAGGTGGACATCGGAGCAGCGGTCTCGGTAGTATTCCAACCGCCATCCAAGCCAAGCCCAGTGAACCGGGTTGCATTGGAAGATCTGTAGGAAGACCAAGGTAATCGTAGGTATCGTAATTAACGCGATGACGCTGAACGCCACAATTCGAAATTTCCTGTTGGGGAAAATGCGTAGATAGAAGCAGACCAGTGAAATTTTGCATAGAGCAAGTGCCACCAGATACAAGCTTTCGCAAACAAAGAAGATCTGAATGCGGAGATGGTTCAGCGAAATGCTTTTTAAATGGAGGGGAGGGAAGGTCGCTAATTACCTTGAGAGCTTTCGTAATAGTATCATAGTCGAGAGACCACAGATCAACACCAAAAGCAAGATATCCAGCTAAGGCAATACCAAATCAGCACTGTCACACGACAAAACGCCAGAGAAATGAACCCACTGTACTTTCCAAGAACAAGCAACGGAGTATAGATAAGCTAGTTCCATGTATGAGCTTTTGGTTGTTATGCTGTGCATATAGCAATCGGAAGGAGAGATATCATACCCCAATTGCAAGTACCATGTAGTCATCCAACTCCAACCGGCCCATTGTAAGTATTCTTGAGTAGAGAAGAATCCAGGGACAGAACCAAGCAGGTACATCCGCGATAAGGGGCAAGAAAAGAACATGTTTCCGCGAACGGCTCGTTCGCTCGCACGCTGCAGCCTCGACCTGAGCAACCTCTAAACATGCAGACATATGTCATTAGTTCCCACAGAGGCTTTTTGTCGTATAATGAAGGGCGAAGACATACTGAGTGCATCACTTGCTTGGCACTTTGATACCACACAAATTTGTGCTAGCGCAATGAAGGCTGTATCAGAGCAGACGCATGTTGAGTTGGTGAAAGGACATGAGGTATTCCCTATCACCGAAGTAAAACATGATATCTATCATTGGGGAAAAGAAACAAAAAGTAAAAGTAAGTCATTTGATGTTTGTAAAATGGGAGTTAGATTGAAGGAGATTAAGGTAAGTAGAGGGGGGAAGAAATCAACTCATACCCCACATGCTGGGAATTTGGAAATCTCATTGATGAGATTAACTTCCCCGCGGCTCAGATTTACAAGCTCTAGAATAATAATAAAAAGCTCAATGATGATTCTTCGGGTGGAAAACGCCATGATATTCGTCCCCCATCGGTGAGACTAAGGAGACTTTCTTATGGGAACCGTCGTTCTTAGCAGAAACGATACAACTTCTGATTAAATAAACAAGCAGACAACCCAAAAATTGGGCCAGAAAAATTAGAAGGGCCCAAAGTGAGCTTGGACACGCGTCGAGGGTCTTCCGAGGTTAAATGATCCTACCCAGATCGACGGCATAGGCAGGAGGGGGATATCACACCCCACGTAGCAGTTCAATTGGGGAGCGTTTGAGAATAAACATCACCAACGGCATGTAAGTGGCAGGGGATTAGCATATCTAGGCCGTGGGATAAGGTGGTATAATAGCCTTATTTTACAAAAGTTCATCAGCATCCGGCCGATGCCCACCACCATCATGCCGTTTCAGAAACACTTGGCCGGTAGGGTTACACCACATGTAAATTTCCATCCACTGTAAACACACATGCATGCTTCTAAACTGCCGTTCGCGGTTTCTCCAGTCCGAGGGCCCATTTCGCTTCTGCGGCTGGACAAGACGGGAAAGTTGCCCCGCTCGATATCACATTCTGCGAACTGTTGGTCCAAGTTTGTAACCCCTGCCGATTGGACTGAGAACCTGCACCTCAAATTTGTATTAATTTGTGACTTTGCCCTTGTGAGCCGATCTTCATTAAATGCAAGTGAGAAGTGTACGAATGCGCAACCGACAGTTGGGCATGGCCATGTAGCATTGACGACCTCTATACCCAAGCGTTAGCCGTGGGAGAACCACGCCGCGCATACCAGGGATACATCATATAACGGCATGCCAATTTTGCTCTCGTTTCCATTTCTACGCCTGAAACAGCCGAGAAAGCAGTAGATCGCCCAACTTTCCTTTTGCTAGTACCCTTCTAAATGGTCAAGCGACTACCAATATCTCGCAGTACATAAATCTGTCCAAAGAGATCGGTAACGTTATAAAATAGCCACCAAATATCCATCTGACGACTCTTTCTCTCCCGCCGCGCTGGTGTTTCTTCGCCCGCTGCGTGATTCGAGATACGGTGGAACGCATCTTCAAGCGAACTGCGCTCGTACTGTGCCACCTCAAACAGTGCATCCTTCCTCCTCGTAAATGATTCGATTGTCCGCTCCGGGCCGCCTGCCACTCCGCAGAATTCCGGAAAGTCAATCGAGTTCAGATTTCGCTCATCGTAGTCTCGAACTGCGGAGCCGTGGTCGTTGTACATGCGACACATGGTCGCCAAATGCTGGCACATTGCTGCACCAAAGTATTTCTCTTGCGTTGATGCGAAGCAATCGGATCCTTCCTCGTTCCAAGCGCTCAACAGGCAACTCACGAAATTGAAAGTGTAAGTTGCTGAGGTATGGTCCGCGGAGGTTGTACGCACCCATCGAAAGAAGTGCTCTCTCATGATACCCTCGCTGAACCGCCCTTCCTTCAATAGCACGTTGTCCTCGCTCTGGGTAACGTGCGTTTGAAGATAAATTCGGAGCTCGCAAGTCATATTCTTCCGGTCCCAGGGGCTGGCGGCGAGGATGGCTGGGTGTGTAAGAGCACGTGTAACGAACTTTTTCAATGGGACGAGAACCTCCTGGCGTTTGATCTTCTCGATGCTATCTGGAAGCCCATTGCGCCCCCCGTTATGATGCCCGTTGGAATGCACAGCGGTGTCTACATCCAGTTGCCCATTGCTCCCATTAAACGCCCCGTTCAAAGCGTACTTGGAATGGCCGTTTGCGGTCTTGTCCTCTGAGGCAGCTTGATCACTGATCGAGTTAATGACCTCGTCAATAAGCCTTCGAAGCTCCGGAATGTCGTCAGCGTAGTTGACACCAGCAATTGCTTCTATGAATTCGTCGACTTGGTAGTTTAGCAGCGCTGCCATCATTCCCTCGAACAAGAAGCATGACGGTGCGAATGTCCTGGTGCGATTGTTGCACGTCGGCCAAGCCAATGGTATCACATCAAAGTACTTGTCTTCCTCCACGCCCTTCCTCGTGAAGACACTCAGACGAAGCGCCCGCACAATCGGCCGGAACAGAGTACCTTCAATCATAGAGGCGCGGATCTCCCACTCGGGCACTTTTGAGAAAAGCGGCGTGCGGAGCCAGAGCTGAGACAGTTTTGGTACCACGGATTTATCTTCCGCAAGGCTGTGGCCCAGGTGGGATTCTGTTTGGGCAGCGACGATAGATCTCAAGGCGGCTAGGCGATACGTCTCGGACAACACTGGAGAGAAGTAGCCAATCTTCTCAATCCAGAGACGTTTTGCGGTGTATCTTTTTGCTCTCTTGTTCAACTTTAGAAGAACGTTTGAGCCGCGATCCATTGCAGTGTCCAGCTGCAGATGAAAGTCATTGAAGAGGAATAATCTTCGGGCGTGTGATAATATGATAATTCCATAAGATGTTTCCTCGGCAGTGCCGTTCCAGGATCCATCGGCACTTTGTTGGAGTAGTGTTCTGTAGCATGCTTGGTAGAGACACACCGCAGCCCGTGACTGCAGCAACTTGTCGGAGAAACCTGGAAAGTTGCCTTGCTCCATCAAATCGACCAATTTGATAATTGCTTCGACGAAGAGCAGCGTTGGATACAGATTCGATATATTCTATGCCCGTCAATATTAGTAACATCAAGATGCAGCTGTGAATGGTATCACTTACCCACTTGTCCTTGATATCATTCATTGCAGTCCACCACTGATCGCAAAGATATACCACCATCTTGAAAACTTGAGACGAATACTGTTGGGGACCCTCTTGATAGAGCAGCGCCAGCAGAGCGTTGCAATTGGCGCTGAAACTTGGATTCCTCTCGGATTCATATGTTTTGAAGTGTGTCTGGGACTCAAACGTTTCAATCATCTTTCCCGGGTCCACCTTCTCACCAAGTTGTTTGAGGCAGATCAATGTCTTTGCTGTATCATCAACATCGGCCATGAAGCGTGGAGCTGAGTGGATAGAAAATGTCAACTTTGAACCATGGAGTGTGAAGAAGGGAGGAAAAGAATAGTAATACCAAATCCAATCACGCCCTGCCCATCCTTGAGAGCGTGGCCAAGAACCTCAGCCATGTGTTTTAGCTCCGTACTCTCGAGTTCCGCAGGTGAAAACCCAGATGTGAGCAACGTCGATAGAACCTTAATTCATGTTAGCACAAATCTCGCAATAATTGGGGGACAAGCGTTCAAGTAACTAACCCAGCTGTATTCGAAATACGTCGACGGAAATGCACTTGGTACTCCCCCATTAGCTTTCCCATCGCCGTGCTGTACCACATGCCTTAGATACTCCTCTGCCTCATTATCCCATTGTGAGGCGTTCATCAAATAGGCGGAGGTTGATGACGGTGATCCCATCATGGATCCATAGGCTTTGTGATGAGCGACTTTGTCAAAGTCCAACTTGCCTATGAATGCCTCTAGCGAGTGAATGATAGTTGATTTATGATCTGTGTAAAGATACTCAGGCTTAAAGCGAGAAAGCTTAGTCGCGTTAAGCCTTTCGAGCTCCTTCCGCTCAGCAAAGCTGAACTGCAGCGACGGATTCTCTTTGCTTAACAGTTCAAGAAGAGCTGGGACAATGACCTCAAACCCCACGTGAACAGTGGATGCGACGCACCACGATCGCAGCTGGGAGTGAAGCGAAACCTCGGCCTTCGCAGTACGATCCTTCAGGATATCCATATCGATATGAGAAAGTTGCAATGGAGCAGAGGAATGCCTGAGAAGAGACAAGAGTGAGGCAGCAGTGCTCAAGATGCCATCAATTTGGGAATCAGAGCCTCCCCAGCTTCCATCAGAAGCTTGGGTGCTGAGAAGGTAGTAGAAGGATTCTGGGAAGAGCCAGCGAGAAGAACCATCTTCAGTCTTCATAACAAGTGAGACCCAGGCTGTATCATAGACCGAGCAGCTCATGGAGCCAACTCCGAAGATTGAGTCATAAGCCTTGCTGGTGGTTTTCAAGAGCAGCCTTGCCTCAGCAGCCAACTCTTCAGCCACAGGTAGGCTGCGCCCATCGTGGTGCGGGTGCATATCCGATGAACCCTTGGCAGTTATGGAGGCAACCATCTCGAAGAAAACAATTAGAGTTAAGTTTTGAAACTCTGATCATAGAGACTCACTGTTGTTGATTATTGTATGCGATTTTACGACTCTTTACACGTGTCCCTGGCCAGGACACTCTTGACTGAATTTAAGTCGTTGTTCGCAGACACGTCTTGGAACCCATCCATCTTGCTATTTTTGACTACCAACCGTTTCCCCCCTCTTAACTTTCGCTTTTGGATCGACTGTCCGAAAGGAATGGAAATTCAGTTACAGTCGCTTACATTGGAATAACCCCCACGTTTCGTTTCCAAGTCTAGTTATTTGCTCATCCATCATGCCATCAACGATGACTTCGGTCCGATGAGAAATTGCCCCGTGCGTAAATTACGTAGGAAGAAGATGTCAGACCAAAGATCTTTCTACGGCCGACACCTCGTGTTGCTTCATGAGTGGCTCCTTGCGACGTCGTGTAGGTGATACGCGTCACTGCATGACCAACAGCCAGTCTTCATGCAGATAATTGGAAACAATGGCATTGTTGGTGGCTGTTGAATACAACTGTATGCAAGGATAGGATGCAATGCGCCATTGTTCATGAACATCAGACTTAGTGGAGAGTGACATACCCATACAGGTACTTTGGGATCTTGTGCAAGGAATCTTTCCTGTTCATGTTACCCAACAAACAGTGATTAAGCAAGTGATATCACACAATCCGGGCGAATGAGCTGGTTTGATTTGAACTTGGCCAAGACTGATATGCAGAATGCTACTGTTGCGTTTCTTTTTCGGCTCTGCAGGCGGGTTTTCCGGAGGATTCATATAGCTCGTTCCATGGCCTATCACCTCGGCGACTTCCGTTACAGTAGGTACATGTTGTGAAGGATTCGGATGCATGGAGTTTAGCTTACGCATTGATATCAACTTTGCAAATTTTGGGTTGGCAATGTTTGCCAGTTTGGGGTATATCTTGAGACTTGCATGCATGATGGTGGTCTCGATTAAGTTTGTCATTTTACCTCCGAGTATGGATTATTATCACGCCCACAATGTGATTTGGTCTTGGCCATGGGACCCCGAAACATAGGTAGTATTAAGAACCCTCTTTTTTAGCATTCCTTCTGCCTTTAGTGGCACTAAATATGTCACTTTCCTGGGAGAGTTTGCAACTGGATGCCCGAGTTTTCCCCTTCCGGATTGATGTGCTCGTAACTGCCCTCGAACCCAAGCGCTCGTTGTCGGTTACTGCTGTTTTTACTGCTGCCATGACGATAGTCGTAAGATGATTGCTTGCTCTTGCCCGAAGTACTAGTCTTGGAAATGAATACAATCCAGAAAGACCTCAAGCCAGGTGCGCAACCGACCATAATGGCCACCAGAGCCTCCAAGGTGCTATATGAAAGAAGAATCAGCGTCCCTACACATCTGGGTCGTAAAGCCGGGGGAGCGGAAGCATTGAAAACCGGGGGTAACGTACAAACAAAGAATCGGTACTATGAACTCAGTCCCATTCCCATAGAGATAGGCGATGAGCTTGTAATAGAGAGAAATTGCTGAGGCGGCAATACCACTGTGGTCCAACTGTCAGTCTATGGCATGGATGGTTCACCGTTGGTGGCTCGACATACAGTATGGCGGAGAAGAAGGTCAAGCTGAGACCAATCTTCTGGGATAGCTTGAGATTTAACCGGATGATGACAGGGATCGGCAGGAAAAATAGAATGGCGTCGACGGTGACGGATATACATCCCGATATGACGCCGGCCAGTGTGTTCGCAGTTGCGCATTTTTGGTATTCAGGAAAAGTCGCCTTGCTGGGGTTGACTGGGCAGTGAACGAGGGTGTATATCAAACCTCCGGTGTATACCATACCCGAGATGACTAGTGTCACCCACGATATATATCGCAGCCAACGATTTACCCCAAAGAGCTTCAGGTAGAGGAAGACGATGGGGGCCTTGGAGAACCACAGTGTTCCCTGAACGAAAATAATGACTGCGACAGAAAGCTGGAAGAGTGGAGAGTGGAGAATAGTTAGCAAGCTGTATCGGCGGGCTAGGCTTCAAGATGGGGGAGAAGCAGGATCCTTTACTTTCTGCAAGGCAATGAGATCTATCGACTGCGGGGGGACCGAGATCACTGGAACGGACGTCAGCTCGCCGAAAACTTTCAGAGTCCACTCAGGTCGTACTTACAATTCAGGAAATGATCATTGATACCATACGTTATAATGGAGAAACACAAGCCAACGACGGCCAAATCTAGGACAGCGGGGATTAGCATGAAGAAGCAAAACGATCCGGACGGAAGGCTTGCTCACAATCATCGGCGGCCAGCTTGTGATACGATGTTCGGTAATTCACGAAGCATCGGAGAGCAACAGCGATGCCAGCCAGGGCCGTGAGCGATATACCCACGCCCGTAAAAGTTGTATGTGTGACGGCAGGTGAGGGCGAAGTCGCAGACATGACGCCCAAGGTTTCATCCCCAGCCGACAAGCCAGTCAATGCAAATGGCAAAAAGAAAGACGCAACGGGAAGTGTTGGCTGGATGTTTTCAGGGCTAAAACTGGGTAGGCGGTGGGAGTGGAATCTTAGCTGTTATATCACTGTTTGGTAGGAAAACACTACCCCAGGGTTCCATTCTTGCTAATATTCTTATCATGGTGAAAGGAATGGGTGGTCTGAGTAGTGGCAATTTGCCGTTAGGGGCAAAATGTTGCAGCAGTAAGCTCCCAACAAGGTTCTGTGCAAGGATTTGACCAGATGGGACTCTTGTAATGGCAGCGGCGCCGGTCACGCAACCGGTCATGCAATGCGGCGGCGCTGTTGGTCTGTGTAGCTCATCAGGAGTCAGGCCACTACCATATATTTGCTGCCTGGACGGTTTGGGTGCGGTGGTATTCGTCACATCGACCCAAAGGGTAGTATTGATGACCCTCGATGCTACTTCATTTCCCAACCAACACTGTACTTGGACCTCCACTGCGTATTGAGACTCCTCGCTAGTTGCATCGGGGCGGTTAAGGGGTTACGCGCCCATTGGGGGCCGCTGGTTGGTAGCTGCTGTCTGGTCTTGTACCAATACTTGTACTATCAATACTTTTAGCCTCAAGCCATAGATATTAAAGGCAGCTCGCGACTCAGGCAGTGGAGTGAGCATCCTGTCACCAAACCAAACATCAATCGAAGATCCTCCATAACCCACACAAATACTCTACTCTGACAATCACTATCCAAAAAATGGCCGAATTCCGAGCTATACTCCAGAAGACCATCGACTCCTTCGTGGAAAACAACACGCAGGCTGTCAAAAAGCAGGATGTAGCCCTTTTATCCGCCATTCTGACCGACGATTGCGTCCGCAAGTACCACCCACGATCATTCGTGAAACGCTACTCGCAATTCTTGAAGCCCCAACTCACCAACGCCGAGTACGAGGCGCAGATGAAGAATGAGCTCGGCACTATGAAGGATGTCCAGCAGAAGATAACCAACACAGTTATTGACACTGAGGCACGCACTGCCGTCCTCTTTAGTGAGCAGACCATCACCACGGCCAACGGCGGCACCAGCGTCGTGGAGGTACTCTGGGGTCTTACCTTTACGGAGGATGGAAGCCGTGTAGCTCAAGTGTTGGAGTACGTGGACTCGTATGAGAGTAGCCAAGTCATAGAGCAGATGTTGAGCAACATGGGGGCTCACTAGGACCCCCTGCTCCCGATCATGGGCTGCCATTGTGTGGGACGCACAGCCACAGTATTATGCGCTCTCGGCCTTTGACAAACAATGGCAGGCGGGGAACAGGAGTGTGGTGCCGATGGAAGGTAGTGGAGGGTTGGGGGCACTCTGGTTGGATCTTCTGCCTTGTCATTTGCTTATCCTTGGTTGGGTTACACTCCTCGGATCAAACGTACGTAAGACACTTCACTTGGCAGAACCAAAGAACCAATCCAAATACTACCGTGCCAATTGCTTTGCGTGTTCAATAAGCATGCACATCATTTAACAGAACCAATATCAATACTACCATGCCATTTAGTGCGTATCTTTTCCCTCGGCATGGAAGTAATAGGATCTTAGTCTAGGTCTCTCGTACGACGATTGCAGCATGACGTTCTGGACAAAATCACTGGAAAGTAATGCTTCGGAAATATTTCTAATAGTGGAAGGTGGTGTTGCATTATCTGCTGCGTTTGATCATAGATTCCTTCATACTTTGGGATGTTCTCCCGCCAAGTTCCGACCAAAGAAAGATTTGTACCGTAATCTTCTATACAAGGGGTAACTATCGATCACCATCATAGTGCCCTGGTATTTCAGATCTAACTTTCCTCTAGGTGCCCGTTGTTCCTTTAGAAGTCCTCCCCTCAAAGTTTAGTGCCCGAATCACAATCAGCAAGCAATTCCCTGGGCCAGAATGTTTCGCGAACTCGTCGTATCATCCTGGTCGCGGACTGTCGAGAGTGTGCACTCTGGCAACATAGAATTGATTGTGGGTATCATTGTGATACTCTCGATCTTTTCCCTCAGATCCAGGAAGGGCGACCTAAACATTACCAATGCCCCGACGTATGGCTACAGATCGATACTGGAGCCCAAATGGCTTCTCCAGTTGAGGTTTGTAACTGGGGCAAGAGATATCATTTCAAGTGGCTATCAACAGGTAAGCCCAGCACATGTTATCGTTACTGATATGCAAATGTTAACGCTATGTTGCAGTTTAAAGATGTGCCTTTCATCCTACGCCGCTTTGACACTGATTACAACATCCTACCAGCACGATATCTCTCTGAGATAGCTGCCATTTCACCTTCAATTCTTAGTGGAGTCTCTGCCACTGCCGATGTGAGCCATCTACTAAACATGCACTTGTTCTTCTACAGAGGAAAGGAATGGTAAAAAAATAAACAAGAATTATCTAACACTTTATAATAGAATATGCTTTACGAATGGACCGACCTCCACTTTCTTCATTATTCAAACCTTCATGTTCAAGTCATGAAGAGAGAGCTATCTCCAAAATTATCTAAATACCTCGAGTGGGCGGCCGAAGAAGTCAATTATGCATGGCATATAGATGTTCCCGAGGCCGATGGTGAGTTTCACTATACTATGTATATCCTTTGGCATTTAGGGAAGAAGGGCTCAAGCTAACGCCAGTTAGACTGGGTTGAAGTTGATATCCAGGAAGTTGTGCGTAAACTGGTTGCACGCATGTCTGCGAGAATCTTCCTCGGACAGTCTGCAGCCCGTGATGAGGACTGGATCAACGTATCAGTCGATTTTACCATCGATGCATTCACTACTGCCTTCGTCCTCAGGATGGTCCCCACATGGATGAGGCCCCTTGTTGCCCGCTTCCTTCCAGCTCGGTACAGGCTGAAGAAGTACCGTGACAAGGCCGCCGAGATTGTCAAGGTAAAAATGGATAAACATGCCAACATGCGCCGTATACCGAAGTTTGGAGAGGAGACAGAGCAAACACTGATGGATTGGATGATCGATCATGCTTCCCCAAAGGAGGGCGAGCTTCATGAGATGGCACATCGGCAACTCATCCTGACACTTGCTAGCATCCATACAACTTCCACCAATACGGCCATTTTTCTCTATGAGCTCTGCAAGCATCCTGAGTGGACCTCTATTTTAAGGAAGGAGATTGAAGAAGTAAACGACAAACACGAAGATCTTAGCAAAGTGGACATCAGACTGTGGCACCCCCGTCTGGAGCGCATGGACTCTTTTCTACTCGAATGTTTCAGACTTCATCCCCCCATCCTGCGTAAGAACCCCCCCATCCTTCAGGAAGTGATACCAAAGAAGTACCCTATTGACAAACATTAGTGAGTCCTCAACGAACGGCCCTGCAGGCCTACACGTTGAAGGATGGAACACACATCCCGAAGGGCTGCAGGATTGCCTTTGCCAACGGCGAACTACAGATGGACCCTGAAACAACCCCAGATCCAACCGCATTCGATCCAATGCGTAGCTACCGGAAGCGACACTCGTCAGAACAGGAGTATTACCGCTCGCAGGCGGTTCTGACTGACATTGATAGTAATCTCACGTTCGGGTATGGCAATCAGGCCTGTCCGGGAAGATTTCTCGGCGTAGCAGAGATCAAGTTTTTGCTCGCTAAGCTTCTCAGCGAGTATGACTTTAAATATCCCGATGGAAAGACACTGCCGGCGACGCTTTCGGCAGATGAGAACGTATTCATGGAGCCGGGGGCGAAACTAATGATGAAAAAAAGAGCATGATGAACCCTTCATGAGGAAGAGTCAGTCTTCTATTTCATCAAGTTTACTTGGTTGAGAATCAGATATAAATAACTTGTATTCGTGTGATGATGTTTTATTCTAGCTAGGCACAGGCTCTCCATTATGTACGATCCACTGCGTGTCTTTTACTCCTCCTGTGTTGCTTCGATCTAGTGCGAGGCGAAAAAGAGATGAACGCCCATCACCCATTGTCTCTAAATATCTTTATCAATCTGTGTTGAGTAGCTACTTAATTAGGTAGATCTAGAATACAAGGTCATTAACAATTCTCTTGGCATCTTTTATTTATGTCTCCTATACATAGTAGATATGTTCAAATTATCACACAGACTGCTTTTGGCTTTCCAGGGAGCAGCTGCTGCACCGCTGGGGTCCTGGATATGCAAGGTAGGTATGTTTTAATCCAACCTATGAGGAAGCAATGAAACGTAATCCTTCAAGGTTAGTGATCCCAAAGGTTCTTTTGGAGTGACATTGCATCAAGGCTCTGCAGTTAATGTTGCATTGGCCTTGGCTTGGAAAATTGTGTTGTATTATTGACTGCTATTCCTTAAAGCCCGAGCAGGATTTCCAGTTTTCGGCTCATCCCAAACTAAGCAGCCAGGGACCCCCTCCCTTTCCATCAATACGTTCTCCGCTCCCGCTACACCCTCTGGAAAAACTGTACCCAAAGCTGTCTCGGGGACCTCACCAGCGCAAGCTTCTAATACCATTGAAAACAAAGTGACTCATGATTTCTCGATAGGTTGGAGTCCATATCCCACGCGCCGCTTGAAGGGCCCAGGTGTTAATACTACTCGCCCACAACTATACACGTTCGGCTCACTTGACCCCTTCTTTCCTGAAACTTTCAATTTCCACACACTATGATTGCCAACGAGGAGAGAAGCGATGGCATTTACGTCCTTACGGTGATCCTGGTGATTCTTGGGCTCTGCGTCTCACACTACCTCCTACTACCGAAGCCGATTGCCGGTATCCCATACCACCCCTCAGCAGCTCGATCTATCCTGGGCGATTTACCAGCCCTATTTCGTGAAGGTAGCGATGCTGGATTGGCATGGCTGGTCTTCGTGGCTTCCAGACAGCCCGACCCCCTCTTTCAAGTCTTTCTGAACCCATTAGGCAAGCCCTTCGTTGTGCTCACGGACTACCACGAAGCACGAGACATTATGATGCGTCGCAAGGAATGGGATCGCTCCTCATTCGCCACGAATGTCGTCAAAGGGGCTTTACCGAACCACCACATCACCTTACCGACCGGGCCCGCCTGGAAGGCTCAGAGACGCCTCTTACAAGATCTCATGATGCCAGAGTTCTTGAATAAGGTGGCTGCGCCAAATATCTACACCAGCGTGACTAGCCTTTTGAGCCTGTGGGAGAAGAAGGCCGTGATCGCGGATGGAAGGGCTTTTTCATCGCAACGTGATATATACCATGCAGCCATGGACGCAGTGTTAGACTTTTCATTTGGAAAGAGCTTCAGCCATAGGACTATGCCGGGTCAGATTAATGCTGTTGAATCTTTGGGGGCCTTATCTTCTTCAGGAGAACCGTTGGAGTTCACACCAGCACCAGTCCATGAGACCATCAAGGCCATCCTCCAAACAGCTGAGACCATTGGAGAGGTCAAGGATACTGGCCTTGTTGGTCTCGCCTGGTGGTGGAAGAAACTGCAGTCTGAAACCATCGAGGCACATCGAACTCGGGTAACGTTCCTCAAGGACCAAGTCGGCAGAGCGAGGGAGAGAATACGATGTGTAAGATCAAGCAATGACACGGCCATCCAGTCTGCTTTAGACCTTATATTGTATCGCGAGGCCCGTTGTGCTGAGAAAGAGGCTCGCGAGCCAGTTTTCTGGTCAGACGTTATTAGAGATGAGGTAAGAAAGGACCAGAGTGTGTTTTTCTTTATTAAGACCCGAGAATCACCGCCTAATAGTATATCTGACTCTAACTACGTGTTAATCATTAGATTTTGGGATTTGCGATGGCTGGTCATGACACCACAAGTACAACAATTCTATGGACGCTTAAGTTCCTCACAAACTCTCAAGATGCGCAAGCGAAGCTACGAGACGCACTACATCGTGCTCACCCTAATCCTCTCGCCGAGAAACGATTGCCAAACCACTCGGAGATCACCAGTACTCACTGTGCTTATCTTGAAGCCGTCATAGAAGAGGCCCTAAGGCTAGCGCATGTTTTCCCTTTGATAGAACGGCAGTGCTCGGAAGATACTGTACTTCTAGGCCGATACATTCCAAAGGGAACCATACTCTTGATCGGGACAAAAGGACCCAGCATTACGGAGAATGCTCGCATCATCGACGAGAACATACGCAGCGAGTCGAGCCGAGCAGCTGCCCTCAAGCGCGGCTATAGAGCATGGGATGAAAAATCGGACATCGGAGCTTTCAACCCGGAGCGGTGGCTCAAGAGGAAAAGGGGCTCCGATGCCTGGGAGTTTGATTCCTTAGCTGGCCCGACACTGCCGTTCGGATTGGGACTCAGGAGTTGTTTTGGTAAAAAGCTAGGATATCTCGAATTACGATTGCTGGTAACGCTTCTGGTATGGAACTTTGACTTTCAGCCAGTTCCATCCGATTTATCTGGACTGGAGCCATATGAGGGGTTGACACATAGACCAAAGCACTGTTATGTGAAGCTGGTGAAGCGATCGAATAGCTAGAAATTTTGTGATATAACAATAAGATGATTTGATACTATAAAAATCCATTTCGTGCTAAGTGCGTCCTCCTGCTCTCGTAAATACTCCTGAGGTGTGGTCAATATATAATAATGAAATATTTTGGTGCATAACGGTAAATTCCCAGGTTTGCCTTCCCCGGACTGTATTTCATCGCTCAACACTGTATTGTCTCTCCTACCATTTCATAGTTAGCTTATTTAGATGCACAATAACGCTACTTCAGCAAACCATATCTTATTTTAGAGTCAACTCGTTTAGTGAAACTAAATAAGGGAGTATTATACCACTAAACCATTCGCCCAATTTATGTGTTCAATCGCTTCCTCAACGGTCCCATAAGCAGACACAGCCAGAACGTTACAGTTGCTTTGCCTGACCGACTTGTACTCCCCTTATTCTCCCACCATCAAATCTACAATCGATACTCTGTTAGAGCTTATCTATTCACGATGTACCGAGTCCTGCAACAGAGACTATTCTACAGGCGTGCATATTTATTCTAGTTGAATGACAATACCTCACAGTATTCCATCAGCAACACGCGGACGCAATATTGAGATAATGCCGCCCCATGTCTCGTGGTACAGCGTATCCGACCATTCAGTCGCCATGAAGCCATCCGTTCTACGCTCTTGTACATTAGATGTGTCCTATAGAACCCAATGAAGCCGAGTGTATCAAATGGACGACTACTTACCCGTGATATCTGTCATTTGCCCAGCAGCGCGCGCGAGGGTCCGGGGACCCATCTCGGCCGTGCGTGCGAGGAAGCAGTTTGGAATTGCCGCGAAGATCTTGAAGGCAAGTGGAACGTCACGCGTCATGCTTATCTTACAGAGGCCTGGAAACGTCCTATAACAGAACACTGATTCACCTTGTTGGGGTAGCTACTCCAGGCTTCTGTGAGATTGGTTATCGGAGCCTTGGAGGTGTGCCGGCCCTGCTTTTTGGAAAGGCAGTTACATCATCGAGCGATGCCCACATGCTACAACAATCGATCTCCACACCGCACGATGCGCCCTCACCTAAGGTAGGTTTCAATCGCAGTCGTGCCCAATTCACTTGGACTGTCGTTGCGTGCCTTGCCATTCAGATCCGCAGAGAAGGACTTGCGTTCAGCGCCGCAGCCTAAAAGGCTCAGACAACTTGTCTATTTGCAAAATGGAATGCTGCGATCGGCCTCGTGTTTACGGTCCTGCGGCTTGTCATCTCATCTGCCGAATCTCATAGCGACTCAGCACTAAATCGAGACATAGAAGACCAATCTTGGACCCGCTAGGAAGATTTCTAATTCCAGACTTTAGCTTAAATGGCACTGTCCATCTATCTACTTATCATCAAGTTCGCCAGTTCATCACAGAGTGCTCAGGGCAAACGTCCTAGATCTGACTTACAGGCCAGTAGGATCTTCTCTCAATCGCGAATGAACATCGAGCACATGGAAAGATAGAGCTATTAGGGTAAACTGATAAATTAAAATAATACTACAACGATAACATAAAACTCAAAAGTCTGTTAAACTCCCTCAAATTCTCCCTGATGACACGAAAGTTGGCCTTCTAAGATCCGGACATGAGGAAAGTAAGATGCCGATAAGTAAACCAAGAAGATAATCCAAGAACAATGCTGCAGATGGTGGACTTAGGACGGCCAGGCCCGATGCTTCTAGTGAACCCCACGAGTAACTGCTCTGAGAGACTCATTTGAGCCGAGCCGAGTCTGGAGTCGACCTCGGTACACTTTCATTAGTCGCCATGAGTTGCTTTCCTTTTCCATACCATTAAGGTGTTTGGAAAAGCTTGAATAGATTTCTGCCGGGCGAATCCTGGTCTCCGTTGTGTGATTGGATATCAAGTCTAGGAGTTCAAAGCATCCAGCCCGTGCAGCTGTAACTGCGTAGTCCAAAGCTGTAAGCGGATGCGGGAACCGGACATCTTCCCAATTACGTCCTATCGGCGCTCCTCGTTCTAGAAGCAAGACGATGAAATCATGAAATAGGTCCAGGTTTTCAAGATTTGGGGTTTCCCGGAAAGGGCAGCCAAATACCTCGCTAAAGATTGCAAGTAGAATCCCCGTGTAACCGGTGTATTCTGAGCCGTGAGTGTCTATTACCTTAGCCTCGACCTCAATTTTGACTGAAGCTCCGCCGTCGAGTAAAATTTTCAAGCAATCCATGTTTCGGGAGCGTACAATTACAAGAAAGAGTAGCGACAGTTCAGGCCTCAAAGTCAGATCGGGGAAGTTCAGATCACACCCCGTGCGCACTATAGCGTCGACAAACTCTGTTTGTTCGGGATGAAAGCTCGAGAGACAGCCGATGAGGGAAGGCCAGATGACATCAGCCCCGCGCTCTGGAAAATGAGAAGCCCAACTAGGAAGATCGATGCCGTCTCTGATGAGCCTCAACGCCATGCGCCAGCTAGTTGTTTGCAAGGCGAGGCAGAGCGGGTCATTATAAGCATTAATGTCGTTGAGAGGTTTGAGCCAAACATTAATCATCTGCTGAGCAATATCGATATGTCTTATAGTCTGGTGGCGTAGGCCGCAGATCCTGTAAAATATCTTCCGGAAGTGGGCAGAGGCTGTGTTAACGGAGGAGCCCCGGTGCTGCAACAGGAGGCCCACCAATTCGGGGCTGCAAATGGTCATGGCCGCGTAGTGTAGAGGTGTTCTTCCACTGTAGTCCTTTTGAAATATTGATGCCCGGTCGTCCTGAAGAAGAAACCTGACGATTTCATCTTTCCAGTTGAATGCATTTACAGCCAAGTGTAAGGCAGTTCGTCCCTTCCAGTCTCTAGCTCTTGTGATGTTCTTATTGGAAGCACTCTCGCATATCTGTGTTACCAAGGAGAAGTCTTGCATTTGGATGGCAAGGCTTAGTACTCCAGCAAGCGAAGCCGTATCCTTCCTCTTGATGAGTGGTTCAAGGAGATGGCCTCGCGTAAGACTGGCAAGTTGAGGGATGGCAGAGGTGTTTTCTGCCACTAGATAAGCCCCTTTGGATATTAATTTCTCCAATATCTCGGGACGTCTCGGATGTTCTCCATGGCAAAAGAGGAAATGAAGAGGGTACTGTGCTTCGAAAGTATCGTACTTATTCACCTTTGGGCACATGCAAAGTCCAAAGCTTGGTTCATGGACATTGGCGCCATGATGGAGAAGATAGTCGATTATCTCCAAGTGCCCATGCAAGACTGCAAGATGGATCAAAGAGAATTTTGGCTTTCGAGAATGATTCCATGGAAATGGAAAAGTCGGCTGCCAAAAGGGCCAGATTTGCGTTTGAAGGCCCATACTTAGGTTTGCTCCATTCACATGGGCGCGCTTGACAGTATCAAGACAGTTATTGTAGACGGCCCAAGCCATCAAATACGTCGCTGATGACGACGATTTGATGGTTTTTTTGTAGAGCTCTGCATTTAAAGCTTGATACAGCCCGCGACATGTTAGAACGAGGGCAGCATGATCTCCAGTCCGCCTGTGGATCCAGGGGCCCGTATACCAGGTGAAGTTGGCGATCTGGAGAAGAATCTCCATTGGCATATTGAGGATTGGGGGTCCCATGGTGGAATTTGACGCGAATAAAAAGCTGACAATAAGTCGGAGCCGCCACGATGGTAAGATGGGTAGAAGACGGAGGTGCTGTAGAATAAAGTGAGGATTGAAAGGGTGGACAAGCAATGAGGGGATAGTGAAGAGGAAAGGAAATATTTATGAGATCATGGCGGTGCAGATAACTGGTGGTATTTGCTTGCTTGACTCGATGTTCGTATTGACTTTGGGCGTTAGATTATACTTTTACATTAACGCCCATTAGCTACGTAGAAATTGCCATATGCTTTTACCTACTAAGTAGTTGGATATTGCCACTACCCTAAACAAAGGTGGAATTCAGAAGTATCATGGACCTTGGTAAGATTAGAATGGCACGAATGGTTTTGGGGAACATGAACGGAATGTCTAAGTGAAATTTACTCGAGCTATTACGCGGAGGCTGAGCATTGCGATCAAGAAAAGATGAGAATTTAAGTTTTCTTCCTTCTCCTTGGGAAGAAAATAGTAGAGTATGGCCGAGTGTCAGTGACTCACTGATTGTAAAAAGCTTCGATGACATGGGTCTACATTTAAAATGACAAAACTTTTTCAAAGGTTCCAGCACTTGACATGAACCATGCGCTTCAGGAGCTTAGATGGCTGCCACCCTGGCATGGAAGTAACACTCTTATATGGCGTTTTTTTTTAGACATTATTCAAGGAGGAATCTCAAGCAAGGGCTGAAGGCTAGACTTGGGAAGGAAAGTTTCGCCGAGCCTCTCGACATGTTGCATATTTTTGGGGGGTTGGATTCAAAGTGACACTGTGGCTTAGCAATATACTTGTTACTGATGGAGGGTCATGGTGAACTAAGGCTCGGCCTAGGGCCATAGATCCTACGTGACTTCTTCGCTAATAAACTTTAATATCTTTACTCTTGGTTTGAATGCTTTTCTTTGCTTGACTTTTTTTTTCCCCAAGGTGAGTTGCTGGCAGGCCATAACCATAATAAGATCACTGAGCAAACCGTACGCCACTTACTTGCAGATTACAATATTAGGAAAAAGAAACGAAAGGGGAAAAAAGCAAATCGCCCCAGTCAATAATTTCTATCCCTCCTAGTCTATGGAGTAACCAGCTTTTCTACAGTATTGTTCCAAGTCGCCCCCAGACATATAGCACCATATATTATAATAGTATTACCGAATATTTGTTCCCCTTTTGTGCCCTTGTCAGTTATCACGATGCATCCCCGGGGAACTGGAACGGCAACCGGCAGCAGGAACGGCAGTCCAGATGCTCTGGCCTGGTTCATCGCGTACAGATTACTGTATGAAGCTTGACGGTGGGGCAACTGCGTCTAAGAGAACTGATGAAACTGTGTGGTCCCTGCACTGCAACATCAATAGCATTTCCGGCGATTTCCCGTTGGACTTTCGAGATGTAAGACTCCAGAGAGCGGCAGGGATGGGCCAATTCTCGGGAGGCAAGGGGCTCTCATTGGCTCCCGCCCGAATAGCCCCGCCCGGGATATTTGGCCCGCTCCCGTGAGGACGACGACGTTAGTATTACAACGGACGAGCGACGGAGGGTTTCCATCCTGCGGGGATTTGGAGAAAGGGATGCACTCGAGTGGGCTGATGGTCCCAGGACGATACGAGTCTGTGCGTGTCTAAGGAAGACTGAGGCCACCGGCGAGGTCCAAGGGGTTGAGAAATTTGCCTCAAATTGTGATGAGATGGACATGAACACTCTTTGGGCATGATGCCACGATAACACAGGGAATCATAGAAATGAGAGAGATGTAAGTGTAGCTCCAAGCTCATCAAGTTCGTACACCATTGGCTGAGAGCTTCGTGGCAGCTTCCAACGAGTGGCGGCGTCTTCAAACGGCAAATTCGCGCCCAAAATGGACCTCGCTTCGCCCGGCAGAACGAATTCAGACGGGACCTAAAGGCCAGGATCTTCTAGTCTGGGAAACCCTGTAAAAACCGTTAGTTGTTTGGGCCAAGAATGTCTGTGAACGGATCCAATTGGTCGGGGGGCCTAGTCTTATGCTTAACCGTTTGCAACCCATGCAATAGTTTGTGATGCCGTATCTAGCAACAGACCGGTCCCTTGCAGCCCTTGAGGGTCTTGCAGAAAGCATGCACTGGAGCCCTAAGAGGTGCATATTTAGAGCGATCACTCTCAGGGGCTCTAGTAGATATACTCGTCCTCGGTGCCGACGTCTCGGGTGGTTTCTCTACTTTGCGTAAAATGTCCAATCCACGATGTCGACCTCCACGCTTACGATTCCGTCAGATTCCAATCTAACGGGCCAGGAAATTGCCGACATCGCCTACAGTTACTCTGGAATCAAGCCTACCAACGTTGGGCAAGCCTCTGAGGTGTTGATATATGTCTTCCTCATCGTCTGCACCGCCATCATCTGCTTGAGGATTTGGGTACGGACGTTCAGAGCAGAGAGCAAACTGAAGTGGGGACTTCCTGACTACCTTGCGGTCATTGGATTTGTATGTTCTCTTCCTCTTCGTCAACACTGCTCCTGTTGGGCGTTTGGCTAACCTACGATTTCTGTTCTCCATTTGCTAGCTACCGTATATTCCCGCCGCCGTGTTTGGGATCTTGGCTGCGCACTATGGCATCGGCGCGACGGATGATCACCTTAACTCGATCGAGGGAGGCGAATTCATAAAAATCCGAGGAATGGAATACCTGATGTACTACGAATTAACATACTTTTCCGCCTCGACTATCACGAAGTATGCCATCGCGGCCACCATCCTTACGATCTGTACCGAGAAGCGCTTCATCTACCCCATATGGGCGGTTATGATTCTCATGGCCGTCGCGGCCGCCGCGTGTCTCGTTACCCTGTTTGTAAACTGTGTGCCATTCTCGGCATACTGGAACATCAAGCTGTAAGTCTTGATAAACGCGTCAGAGCGCGCAACATATACCTCTACACCTTCGTTGCTAACGCGTAGCAAGTGGTAAATGCAAGTCTGCCAACGGATTTTTGATTCTGAGCTATGTCGGAACCTCTGCTCAGATTCTCGTCGACTGGACTTGTGCCATCATGCCATTCTTCATCGTCTACAGGCTGCAAATGCCAAGGAGAGCCAAGATCTCCGTTGTTGGCGTCTTGGGTCTGGGTGTGTTGGCTAGTGTCGCCGCTCTCATGCGAATCATCAGCTACCAATACATCGACACAAGGAGATATCCAGACAACCACATGCGTAAGCGGCACCCAATTCTCTCTGACAAACTTCTGGCTAACTAATCTCGCGTGTAGTTGCGGAAGGCCGGCTCCTTCTGTGGTCTATTTTGGAATCTAGCTTCGCCATCATCGCCTGCTCCTTGCCATCGTTGAAGAAGCTGTTCACGAGCTGCATAGGAAGATCCTTTAACCGGTCAGGAGATGCATCAAGATCTGTGAGTGCACCCAGAGCGTGCGGAACGAATCACATGTAACCAATACTAATCATTGGGCTTTACGCATGGATAGAAACGAACATACGGCAACCAAACTCCTCTTCAGTCTCTGCCCGGAATCCACACGACGTCAGTAACTGGGAACAAATGGGATAGGCTGCACGACGACATGGACGACTCCAGCACTCACCAGATCATGAGGCGGACGGACATTCACATCGAAACCGATAGCAACCAATCCTTCACCAAGACTGGTGCTATGGTTTGAAGGGAAATACAAAAGTTGGAGAACTGATTTCGGATGATGGGGCAAGTCGTGAGCGATGTAAAGCATATAGAATTGTTTCTTTTAATCATTTGTACATTCATTATAGGGATAATTAAAATCAGAGACCGGTCATTAATGTATTACCAATTCAAATGGCAGTTCCCTATACATAAAAAGGCACAACATGGGCCTAGAGTAGAGAACGAGGACCTATAGCTGAAACAAGTCATCTTCGTCCGAATTCTGTCTGAAGACTTAGTGCCAAGTGATATCAACGAGGAAACCAATATAAGAAAATTCGTGAACGGTTCGTAGGTTGCTGCAGACAAGCTCGCATTAGGGGGCCAAAGCGTTCCTCCACCTTTGCCACGACATAACGATGGGGCATGCCTTCGCTTGCAGGAACGCCTTTGAACCCCTTACTGGGTGGGTAAGAATCCCAGTTTCAAAATGACCTGGCAGTAAGCAGATCATTTCCAATACCACCCTGCGATGTAACCCGCCAGCATGCTGGCAAGCAGACCCAAGACATCAGCACGAAACGTCACGTGGAAAGAACCCCTTGACCCTCTTCTTCGTTTAGGGCCTGCCATCTTCTCATTTAGGAACAATGATGACTGCATACCAGGCAACGATACAACGAATATTACAAGAAGAGTTTCGTGATGAATACTAGGAAAGTTTATCACATGGCTGGGGCCGAATCAAACCTCAAGTCCCCCCCCCCCTTGAGAACGATACCGCAGGATAATTTAACTACATAGCGCAGACTTCTCTCATGAAGGGCCGATAAATTCTACTTAGCTAGGCGCTCTGAATAGAAGCCCCTTCATCCGTGTTGTAACCTTTGCATAGCTTGGTCGGCATTAGTTATTCATGGTTTGGGCTTATTGTTTTTGCTTTTCTTCTCCACTGGGGAGGTCTCTTTTTGAGGGAAAGTGTGATAAGGATTGGAAACTTTGTAATTTATAGCTAGGTGTACGAGGAAAGGCTATATTTTTAAGCTTTTCGTATTCACTGCGTTGAGTTGTTCGGGCCCTGGCAGCTTCATTGTTGTTAAAGTTTATCATTCGTATTCTCCCACACACCTAATTTATAGCTAGGAGAACGTTCACAGACATGGGGATATTGAAAACAATTTAATGACCTTCTGCTGCTTTGTTTGCACCAATTCTATGGTTGGCATTATTTTGCATGGGGAGGTCGAAAGAGACATGGAACGCCACCTATTTAGGAAGGTCTACAGTTTGAGTAGTCATTCTACCAAGTCTAAAATCTTTCATTCTAAGCATGCCTAACCTGGGCTCAGAGATTTGAAGAGCCTACATTTACCAAAATAGAGCCCCAGGCCCCCAGCTACATCTCTTGTGGGGGACCGGGGATCCCGCTCATGTATGTATTACGGACCTGCAAGTATCAAATTATTCATAAATCGGCCACTGCATCGGAGTCCGCGGTAGATTGATACTAGCAGGGCAGGGCTACCTCTGTCGGACTTTGGCCATTGACGTTGATGGATAGGTTACAAAAGCCAGTGCGTCCCGTGGTTTTGGTTGGGCAGATTGCGGGCTTCATGCCGAACAGGGTCATTGCTTGATGCTGTAATCCTCCTGCCGGCAGTCTGAGTCTCGTTTATCATAGAGGAGCTGGACCGGCACATGTCTACTGTATTCTGCGGATCATCTGCTTACGACATGGCATGGGATATCCCTTCCAAGAGGCAACCCCCCAACAGGTGAGATCCACGCACAAATTAGGAGGATGTCATCTTGCACCATGCCAAGTGGGCATCAGAGTAACAGGGACTGCAAAGATGTTTTCTCCCAACTTTCCATTACAAACCACGATATCGATAGATAATAGTTAATAATAACAACCATAGTAAATTATTAATCTATTTTTACACAAGATAATTCATTTACTAGCATTTAATAAGAAATGACAAGAAGTATAATAATATCACTGACTACTGTAATATTACTGAGGTGACTTTGCATGCCTTGAGGTCCCTTCTCTCTGCTTTCTTTCTGAGTTTCTTTCCCTCACGTCTCGTGAAACTTCTTTATGGTTTCATCAGTCAGCGTTGGAGTTACTCGAATTTGGCATCCGGTTGAGCATGTCTCAATGGCTTAACAACAAATCCTCCCGCCACACACAATGATTTGAGGGCGAGCTGTGAACAAATTAATGCCCACAAACTCTAAACCCCTGTCTAATATGTTGAATATAATAATATATTGAGTGCCTAAAAGATCTACAGAAAATATTGACATAATTTCCTGCCGACAGAAACATGCTAAATTCATGCCCATCCTTATGTATCCACCTAGTTGTCCATATAACAATAATACGATGAAACATATCAAGACACCAGGAGAAATTCGGCTTTAACCCCAAGATGATCAGTCACCCATCCTTCCTCAAGACCCTCCTCTTCGATCAATAACTGCTTGTCGCCTTCGTCAGCAACTTGCACATCCATTCCAAACCTCCCGAAACCCTGCAACTGAACGTCGCCACAATAAAGAATCTTATCCATCCGCGTCAAGCCGTGTCGCTCCCTACTTCGCGTTGCTGCCATATGCCCCCAGGTCATTCCCGCCTCAGCCCCTTCCTCCTGCCCAGTCTCGAGGTAGGCGTCTTTCAGATTATTCAAGGTGTGAAGATTTCTATCAAATGGCTCGATAGCATTTAAATCACCCCCTAGAATGCCGGCGTCGGCATTGTGCAAGTGTCTAGCTGCCTCAGCTAGCTGGCGAGGTCTCATTGGGGGTCTTGCGACCAAGGATTCCAAGTGTGTCGTGCATAGACGGATCTTCTTCCCGTGCAGGTAGACTTCCACGAAAAGGGCGTCCCGGCTCATGTCCGTTTGTGTGTAGTGGACACGGAAGACATCAGTGATGGCCATTCTTTTAGGAACGAGCATGCAAGTTCCTGTCGTCAATGTCAGCTTTAGTGTTTATGATTTGACAATGCTTACTTACCATGAACGTCAGACTCCCAATACTCGGAAGAAATATCGGTCAACTGAAATTCTTCCTGTATCCAATCCTGAGACTGTAGAATTTGGAGATCCGAATCGGTCATTTCATTCAACATGATAATTTTGTGATCGGTATCAGGCTCATATTCCGAGGCGACGTTGCCATACACATGTTGACGCAAATGGGCTAAGGCTGCCCGCATCCGCTCATCTGGCAGAATTCTCATAAAATCAATATTCCAAGATAGAACTGTGAAAGAACTTATGTTTGAATCCGATGTGGCAGACCGTCTCCAGGTAGGCTTTACCGGATGCCAAGTCTGGTCTGATTCTGAGAAGACATGATATGGCTGTTGGGATGGTGAACCCCGCGTCCAGGGAAAGGAAGTTGGGAGATTATCCCAAAAACGGTGTGCCATTGTCGTCGTGTGACAGAAGAGACGAGCAATGAAGTTGTATTGTGTAATTTAAGCGATGTGAGGAATGTTCTGCATTCTCCAAGGTTGGGCGAAGAGCACATATCATGACCCCTGCCCCTATAAATCAGGCAGAAGAAACTGCAAGAATGCGGGGTTCAAGGCAACCAGATACGAAAACCAGTTCGCATAATTCCCATGTGATTGGCTCTCGTTTGTTGTCTGACCACCAGTCTGGGCGACTGCTTACTTATCACAGGATTGGGCAGCAGTTAGGGACCAAATATTTATCATCAGCCTCCGACGATATGCTGTCAGCAGACCGGCGAGGCAGCGAGCACCACCCCAATATTGTAACATCATGCAGTTCGGTAAGTTCTCGATACCAATAAAACTGAACCACGTGTACTCTTGGCTCTTTCAGCTCAATGTATCGCATTGATATGTGGACAACTCATTTTTGCTTCCTCTTTCTTCCTTGATCATCACCTATCGTGTCTTTTCATCACCTCAATAAAAAATTTGGTTGGCAATAGAAGATATATCTTTTCGAATATCTTTAATAACAGCTATGGATGTATTTGTAGAGCTGCAGATACTAAAGCGTCTTGCTCGACATCTTGGGGCTACAGGCCCCTTTGATATGCCATCTGAGCTTGAGAAATTTGGTCGCTATTCCTACGAATGGATGTTTCATCGCGAGCCTCCCGCAAATCTCGAAAGTGAAACACTCAAACTCTTTGGGAGAATCATATTAAGGCTTATAACCGATCCTCCAAAATATGCGGAGGACAACTTGGAGGACCATCAGTCCCTCCCTCGGCTCTCGCTGCCGATCATTAGACCCCCCGAGAAATGCCAGACGAAAACAGCGCAGGCTTTTCCATACGAAAAGTTGCCCACTGCAACCTCAATTCGTCTTGTTTCCATAAAGCCCCTCGAAATTCATACAATTTTCGACTTGTTCCAACCAATCGAGTGCTCTATAGTCGTCGTAGACCTCAAGGATAGCCCCGCGTTTGACGCCGTGTCTTATACGTGGGGCGATCCCTCGACCGTATTCGACAGTGAAAGACAAGTCTCATGTAGAGAAGATTGGGCGGCGCCAGCCTTTGAAATTCTTCTCGATGGCAAGCCTGTGTCGGTCTCCACGAACCTGTACACTATGTTGTTGGCCCTCCGGCGCACCAGTTCTGACCCTGAAAGAGCATTCGACGATATTTCTTTTACCAAGAGATTTTGGATCGATGCTCTTTGCATCAACCAAGCTGAGATCGACGAGAAAGCTCAACAAATCATGATGATGAGCCGTATCTACAACTGTGCTACATGTGTGTTTATATGGCTTGGTGGGCAGGATCATGAGACAGGTCGCGTGTTGCAACACCTAAAGAACCTGACCAACCTGGATAAAGAGCGGATTCCACTACTAGATCCGTTCATAGTAGAAGTTGATATGTACAAGAAGCTGGGAATTCCGGCAATTTCTGCGGACGATTGGGTGGGGATTTATAAGTTCTATAACCGAACCTGGTTCAGCCGCGCATGGATCGTGCAAGAGGTTGGACTCGCGAAGCAGACAGTAGGCATTTGTGGCCTTTACATGTTTCGGTGCCACGTCCTTCGATTAAGCCTTGCTAGACTATCATCAGCGGGCTGTATACGGCCGTTAAGAGACCTTGTCGAGCGTCTTATATATGGGGCACGGAATGAAAACCAGCACAGCAAGACCTCGTATCGCAAGAATCTAACGAAACGGAGAATATTTCAACCTTCAGCTCCCAACACCCCATTCAATCCAAACTTATTCATCCTCATGCAAGAGGAGGGGTTTGCTATAGGAGGAACTGCCTATATGGCGAAGATTAAAACGGGTATCAGGCCAAAGCCTCTTTGGAGAATCGTTCATCGTTTCGGTGGTCTTCAAGCTAGTAACCCTAGAGACAAGGTGTATGCTTTCATGGGCCTTTCGAGGGAGCATGTTGAGGAAGGGCGACAACTTGTTCCCAAGTACGGCCAGCCAGTAGAAGAAGTCTATCTCGAAGCAGTTCGGTTCATGGCTGGCTCGGTCGGAGGCCTGAATTTTTTAGGAATGAAAGAGTTGGTTCCATCCTCGGAACTACCCTCCTGGATGCCGGACTTTAATGCCTCAAGTTCATTTATATCATATGTGGAGACACTTGGGATCTGGTCTTGCGCATCCGATGGTTTAAATCCTCGAAGCTTTCACATCAACAAAAAGAAATTGAGTGTCTCAGGTATCTGCTGTGGCAAGGTTCTCCGAAAAGAGTCCTATTCGCCGGTCAATGTAGGAGCCATAATTGAAATCCTGGAAGGATTACCAGAGACTTCGGACATCTGGAAACCCCCAGTTGGGACTGAGTGGGAGGTCGGTGATGTGAATTGTGCCCAAGGAATCCACAAAACCGCCAAAAGGGGCTGGACATTGACTCATCAACGTCGTTATGAGGTTTTATGGAGGACTCTTGTCTCGGATTCTTTCGATGGAGAGCAACCAGCCCCAATGAACTGTGAAAAATTAATGGATGCGTATGTTCAGTACTCTGTTACCCAGGCATTGGTACCCGCAATTTGTGGCTTAGCTCGAAATCAGGAGGAGCTAGATTTTCTCTGGCAGTTTTTCCAAGCCTCAGACTTTCAGGCGCCTCGGAGCCTTCATAGATACGACCGTACGAGAACCATCTTGAAAGAGGCGTATCTGGCTCAACAAATGTTCCTCGGTCATGTTCAACCGGATACAAGAGATTCAGACCTTCCCCCAACTTTTCAAAGATATGAACGCATCCGCAATACGCATGGAGTCAAGAGTCAAGAGTTCTTAACATTTTTCGCTCAATTTGGCCATCACTATCAAAGCCAGATAGATGAACAGAATTCAAACGTCCACACATCATTCAGACAGCAAATTGAGATGGTTGGAAAAGTACCCAGAGTTCTTTTCACAACAGACCGAGGGCATCTAGGACATGCGAAAGGTACTGTACAGAAGGATGATGAGATCTGGGTCCTAGCAGGAGCTTCCATTCCGTTTATTTTACGACCAGTCGATGAGGCGACGTACCGTTTGATTAGCGATGCATACGTCCACGGAATCATGTATGGCGAGGGAGTTCCGGATGGATCAAGCGATTTGGCTAGGGAAATTTCTTCAATCTAGTTATGATTTAGATATAGTTTCTAAAGTTCCTGTGGCGTGGGCATTGAATGACTACCAGCATGGATCAAGGCTACGTTTCCCACGATAGTTGTTTGTGTTGAGAGAAAGTAGCAAAATACTTAGTATGTGGAGCGTTCGACACATATAATAGGAGCAATATTTATTCGGATTTTGTTTGTTGTTATTGCCACCCACTTATACAGACTAAAGAAAGAGGTTTTTGTGCTCGGCTCCAGTCTTGCAGTCCGTTTCGAGATGACACAATATGTCATGTATTCAACTAATTGAAATGGGTAGATGAGGTGATTATTAACCCAAGAATCGAATCATCAAGATTCAAGTGTGGAATTAAGCTGTAAACGTTCTACATGACCGACTTGCATATACTTTTGGCTTTCAATTGATAACTTGCCAAAACTAGCACTCAAAACTAGGGTTTTATTGGCTAATTCTTGCCATCGTAGGGCAATTTTCTGGAATGTTCGTGCACGTATGCATGAGTCATTCCACCCGCGCCCTTCGGCTGTCAAAAATCGACAATTGACAAGATGTCACAAGGCGCGAGTGGCAATTGTGGAGGGGCAGGTCTAGGGTATCTCAAAACCCGCGGAATTACATAAACCGCCGATAAATGATCGAATTTTCACAACTCTTGAATAACGACATCGCAACACTACCGAACAAGCCAATTCCTTGCCTAGATACCTTTATACCATCCAATCTCGCATTAAAATCTTCTCAGAGACCCACTCCATCGATCCATCCTCTAAAGAAAACACAATGCCTCACCCCGTCACCCCCGTCTCCCTCACCTTCCGCAAAGCCCTCCCCGCCGACGTCCCCTCCATCCTCAAGCTCGTCCGCTCCGCCTACCGCGGCGAGGCCAGCCGCACCGGCTGGACCACAGAGGCCGACCTCGTCGCCGACGAGCGCATCGACGAGGCGGGCGTCCTCCGCAAGATCGCCGAGCCAAACGGCGTCATCCTCCTTGCCTACGACGACGCGGGAGCCCTAGCGTCCTGCTGCGAGGTCCTCAAGCGCGAGGACGGCGACCTCGCCTACTTTGGCCTCTTCGCCGTCGACCCGCTGCGCCAGGCGGGAGGTATTGGGAGGCAGGTGCTCGCGCGGGCCGAGGAGCACGCGAGGGAGGTGTTTGGGGTCAAGAGGCTCGAGATGTGGGTTATCTGGACCCGGAGCGAACTCATCGAGTGGTATGTGCGCCGCGGGTACACCAAGACAGAGGAGACGGCGCCGTTTCCGTACAAGGAGCTCGTTAATGGGGAGGCGCTGCGCGACGATTTGCATTTCCGCGTTCTGGTGAAGGATCTGTAGCGGGGTCGGTGTTTTTATTTCATGTTCGGTTTTAGGGGCGTTGTATGAATGGTTTTCGAGGAGTTCTCTGACCAGGAGTGTGTTGGCATGCTTGTTGGGCGCTGTGTATATGTATTGCTGACTTGTTCGGTCGGCATCGGGGAAACGAGATGGCGATGTTATTTTCTAGACAAGCTTGCTCTGGGGAATAAAAGGGGAAAATAGAATTATAGACAATAGATGATCGAAGACACCCCTATTCAAGTTTCATATCCATCCAGGTAGATGCTATTTCTGACAAACCTGCGAATTGGAGAGATGAGGTTGATGACTGTCAGCCTTTGCTACGATCTTGCCTGTTTCTGACCACCTCCCGGCCTCTTATTGGATCTGGACCTGCCAAGGCATCTGCCATCCCTGCCCCTTATCCTGTTGAGAGTAAGCAGCCAAGTCATTTCACTTGCGAAGATCTGAGATAGGTAGGTTGGAGAAATGCTGCAATTATATTACCACTAAACTATTAAGGCTATGTGACGGGCAAGCTGCTAATTGCGCCCGAAACTAGTATAAATACACACTATTTTAAATATAAGCTAAAGAGCGTCAAAGATTTCATGCTTTTCTTTTTGGGTAACGAGTGTCTTTTGAATAAGAGAAGGGATGCGGTTTGCCGAGCCCTTCTATGAGATGGCCGCGCACACATTGAGCAAGGGGGCACAGATACCGACCACGCAGTTGGGCTGCGGGAAGTAGCAGTTCTGTCCCGTGACCTGGGCGCACACGTTGACGAGTGGCAGACACGTTCCAGAGCCGCAAGAGCCAGAGGTGCAGGGCGCGCCGAGGCTGTTATCTGAACAGGTGTTGGTGCTGGTGTCGCAGGTCTGGCCGGTGGGACACTGCCACGACGCGGTGCAGTAGTTGGTATTCTGCGTGCATCTGTTGGAGGCGAGGTTGCATGTCTGGCCCGTGGGACAGGTGACAGTAGCATCGCAGTAACCGATGATCTCGTCGCACTGGTTGTCGGTGAGATTGCACCTGGTTCCCGGGCCACAGTCCGTGTCTTGGCTGCAGAAGCCCTGGATGGCAACGCATGAAGGTGCGTTACACTGATATCCTGAGGGACAGTCGGTGTTGGCGGCGCATGGGCCGCTAGTCGACTCGCATTGGTTCAGCCTCAAGTTGCAGGCTTGGGTACCAGCGGTGCAGTCGCCGTTCGAAACGCAGAACTGGGTGATGTCGGTACATTGGGACAAAACGGTATTGCAGTTCTGACTGACAAGACAGTCCTGCTTGGTGGTGCATGACTTGGGAGTTGTGGAACACGTATTGCCAGCGCAGAATTGGCCGGACGGGCAGTCTCTCGTCGCCGCACAGTAACCGCTGCCGAGTGTGCAGACGCCATTGACACACGTCTGACCTGTCGGGCAAGTGTATGTAGGAGAACAGTATCCTCCTGTAGGCGTGCAGATGCCGCTGGAGCCGGCCGCACCCAGGGCACAGTAGGCGTTTGCACCGCAGGTGGCATCAGTGTAGCAGACGCCCTCGGGATTGTAGCAGACATTTCGTCCGTAGTCGCAGGCCTCGGTGATCTGGGAGCAGGGCACGGTCGAGCTACAGTATCCAGAGATTGGCTCGCAGGCGTTTGTGCTGGAGCACTGGCTACCGGCACCGCAGTCTGTGCTGGACACGCAGAAGCCCTGTTGGAGGGCACATCTACCACCGGTTCCGCAAATCTGGCCACCGGGACAATCGGTCTGTACCGTACAAGTGATGGCAGTGCCCGTGCAAGTGTTGCTTTGACACGTGGTGCCCGCAGGACAGCCAAAGTTGGAGCTGCAATACTGAGGATTGGGGATGCACTGGTTCCTGGTCGTGTCGCAGGTCTGATCTGCTGCACAGCCTGAGGTCTGGGTGCAGTATCCCTGGATGTTCTCGCAGCGGTTAACGTTGAGTTGGCAGAACTGCCCAGTCGCGCACTGGGAGTTGGCGCTGCAGAAGCCTGAGATGAGGGCGCACTGGTAGTTTGCCGGATCACAGAACTGGTTGGGAAGACAGTCTGTCGATGATGCACAGAAGCCTGGGGTCGTGGAGCAAACGTTGCGTCCATTGCTCGTGGCGGTTGTGCCGCAAGTTTGTCCAAGAGGGCATGTGCCAGCCGCGGTGCAGCCACTGTTCGGTTGACATTCGCCCGTCGCCGTATCGCAAGTGTATCCTGTGTCACAGGCTCCTCCAAACGGTGGCGGGCAGTAATCCACGAGGACTGTACAGCGCAATTCGGCAGTGTTGCAGGTATATCCGGCGGCGCATGGGTACGTGGCAGTACCATCGCAGTACAACGGGGTGTTGCTGTTGGAGTCGCAGATTCCATATTCTGAACATGACTGGCCGGTCGGGCATGGAACGTCTGCGGAACAGTACTTGGGGACAGGAGCACACAGCTTTGTGTTCTGATTGCAGTAGGTACCCGCTGCTCTTGCAAGACACTCAGAGTCCTGGAGACAGAAACCAGAGATTGGAACACACCCGCCGTTCTGACACGACTGGCCGAGAGGGCAGGGGCCAGAAGTGCCGCAGTAGCCATCAGAAGGCCGGCAGAAGTTGCTATCACAGTAGTTGCCTTGTCCACAATCGACGTCGGACTGACAGTAGTTGGGGATGGGCCTGCATACGTGGGTGCCCGCAAGATCGCAATAATACCCTGTGTCGCAGGTATTACCCGCGCCGGTATAGGCAGTGCAGTAGCCCGCGATGGTTGTGCACGTAGATGTGATGAGGTTGCAGAACTGGCTTGGATCAGAGCATGGGACTGAGTTGCTGCAGGCGAGAGGTGTGGTGTCGGGATCTGTACAGACGTTCGATACACATGTCTGAGGTGCCGTGCATTGAGTCGTCGCGTCACAGTAGTCGGGATCTCTGCAGACATTCGACACACAAATCTGGCCTTGAAGACAGAGCTTGTTCGCATCGCAGTAGCCGTCAGGATACACGCACACATTCAATGAGCTACAAGTCTGGCCCGGAACAGTGCAAGGTGTGTTAGCGTTACAGGCAGCTCCCACCTGGCAGGTGTTCGTAGAGCAAGTCTGGCCTCTAGGGCATGGCGTATTATCATCGCAATAGGTGTTGGATACACAGAGGTTGGACACACAGTTCTGGCCAGCGGTAGTGCATGGAGTGTTGTTATCGCAATATCCTGGGGTCTTCTGGCATCTACCGGACTGACATTGTTGGCCAGTTGGGCAGGCAGTGCTTGCATCACAGTTCTGTGTACAGGCGTTGGCTTGCAGGTCGCAGGACTGAGTCGGGCTGCAGTCTGCGTTCCTCTGACAGAAGCTCGCCGACGCAACACACATGAATCGGTCGGTGTTGCAGGCTTGGGCAACAGGGCAGTCCCTATCGCTGCCACAACCGCGCGGAGCTGTGGGCTCGCACGCAGAAGTGATCGGGTTGCACACCTCAGTGCTGGAGCAATCGGATGGAGAGCTGCACTGTCTGGGTGTGGCGCTCGCGCAGATGCCGAACTGGGTGTTGCATGCAGTGCCGGCAGCAGTGCAGTCGCTGTTCGATGAGCAGGCAGTAGGACCAGAAGCAACGCAAGCGTTCCTGGAGAGTAGACAGAACTGGCCACTGCCACACTGGCTGTTGTTCTGGCAGGTGGAGGTTCCACCAGGGGTACATGTGTTGGTCTTGGTATCACAGATATTACCCGTAGCGCAGTCAGTGTTGACCAGACAGTTGGGAGCTGCTTTGCACACGCCATCGGATCCGCACCTCTCACGAGATGGGCAGTCGGAGTCAGCCGTGCAGTCCACAGGTCCAGCAACGCAAATGTTGCCATATGCTTCGGAGCAGGTCTGTCCGGTAGGGCAATTGGCATCCGCGGTACACGTGGTAGGCGTTGTGGTCGTGCAGGTACCGCGAGTGCAACTCTGGCCACTTGAGCATTGGGCGTTTGTACTACATGCGACGGGCTGCTTGGGCTCGCAGACACGCAAATTGGTGTTGCAGTTATCCTGCGCAGGACAGTCTGCAGTGGAAGTGCACCCAATAGGCCCATTACTTTCACAAGTCTTTGTTGTCTGGTTGCAAGTGTTTCCGGCAGGGCAGTCGTAGTTGACGACGCACCCGGAACTGATACACTGACCGTTGAAGCCGCATGTCTGCCCGGATGGACATTGGGTAGAACCAGTGCAGCTAACGGGTCCGGCCACGCAGATCTGGTTGACGGAATCGCAAACCTGCCCAGGTGAGCACGAAGCAGTCGATGTACAGGTAACTGGAGCCGTGGTCTGGCAGACGTATTGCCCCGTGTTGCAGTTTGAACCGCTCGGGCAGTCTGTATCCTTACTACAAGAAACTGCGTTCGTCGATACGCAGATCTTGTATTGCGAGCTACAGCTGAAAGCGTTGGGACAGTCTGCAGTAGACCTGCAACTGATAGGTCCGTTTGACTGGCAAGCCTTGGTCTGCGTATTACACAGGTTGCCGGTAGGACAGTCGCTGTTGGTGCTGCATCCAGCACCGACACAGGCGCCATTACTGCATAGGTTGTTTGATGGGCAGTCAGAGTTTATGGTACAAGTGGCAGCTGCGGCAACACAGATCTTGTACTCAGGGTTACAAGTCAGCCCTGAGAAGCATTGAGCGCTGGACTCGCACCGCTGGGGCGTCGTGGTCTGGCACACCCCGAAGAAACTGTTACAATTCTGTGCACTTGGGCAATCAGCCGCCGATGTGCAGCTGACAGTGTCCTTGGGCTGGCAAACATGCAGCGAGGTATTGCAATTGCTGTCACTAGGGCAGTCACCGTTACCGTTGCAAATGGTAGGCCCAGGAGACACGCAACTCCTCGTGCCCTGGTTGCAGTAATTCCCACTGGGACAATCGTTGTTGACCCGGCATTGAACGGGGCTGCAGAAACCGTTGGAAGCGCAGGTCTCGCCAGAGGGACAGTCAAAGGTGTTTTGGCAGCCCGTCGCGGCGGCGACACAGATGCCGAACTGCGTGTTACATACCTGCCCATTAGAGCAGTTGCCATCCTGAGTGCATCTAACAGAAGCAGTCGTCTGGCACACTCCCGATCCAGAGTTGCATGATTGGCCACCTGGGCAGTCCGAGTCCTGGGCGCATCGGTAAGGGATGACGGGCTCGCACACATTGAACGAGGTGTTGCACTGGGTACTTGACGGGCAGTCTGCAACTGAACTACACCCGATTGCTCCAGCAGACTGGCAAGATTTTGTCGTCTGGTTGCAGGTACTTCCGACCGGGCAGTCCCTGTTGGCTCCGCATTCGCTCGTTGAAGCGATGATACACACATTCGAGGTTCCGCATGTCATACCCGATGGGCAGTTCGCGGTAGTCTGGCAAGAAGGAGGGGGAGCCACACAGACAGAATACGTGGTATCGCAGACCAATCCATTAGCGCAATCCGCCGTGGACGTGCAGCTCGCAGGTGGACGAACCGCGCAGAAACCGTTGGTGCATTGTTGGTCTCGTGAGCATTCGCCATCATCCGTGCAAGAGGCGGCTGTCCTGGGCTCGCAAATGTGATACAACCTGTTGCAAATCTGGTTACCGGGGCAGTCACCGTTGATATTGCAAGAGACCGGACCACTTGAGTCGCAGCCCGCACTGCCACATATCTCACCCGAGGGGCAATCGATGTTAACTGTGCAAACGCGTAGCGAAACAGTGCATGTGCCGCTTGCGCAACCTGCGCCGGAAGGACAGTCTGTATCGGCAGTACAGGTCGCGGCAGCAGCAACACAGATTCCATACCTGACATCGCACGTCTGGCCAGTGCCACAATTGCTGTTTACCACGCACTGAGTAGGAGCAATTGTTGCACATTGGTTTGCGGCAGCGCAGTATTGTCCAGACAAGCAATCCGAATTGACCGTGCATGAGCCGAAGGTTGCAGGTTCGCAAACGTGGGTAGATGTGTTGCAAACGTAGCTTCCGGGGCACTGTCTGATATTCTCACAGCTAGTTGGGCCGTAAGACGTGCAACTGCCACCTGAGCAGGTCTGTCCAGGGGGGCAATTGGCGTTGACCTGGCAGAGGGGAGTAGAAACGACACAGTTGCCACTGGTGTTGCAAATCTGACCCGAGGGACATTGGCTGTTGCGGGCGCATTCGGCGGTACCGGCAACACAGATCCGGAACTGGGTGTTGCAGACTCGGTTCCCAGGGCAGTCAATATCCTGGGCACAGGTATCAGGTATAATCGTCTCACAAATGCTGGTTGACAGAGTGCATCTTTGTCCAGAAGGACAGTATGAATCATCCAAACAGGCGTTGGGGTACTCAGGTTCGCAAACGTTAAGAGACGTATTGCAAATATCGCCATCGGGACAGGTCGAGTTCGGATCGCACGCTGTGGGACCAGTAAGGACACAGTTCAGGCTGCGTTGATCACATACTTGACCAGACGGGCAGTCTCTGTTGGCTCTGCAGTTGCCTCCCGTGGCAATGGAGCAGACGCCATCTATGCCACAAGTATAGCCAGCCGGACAGTCGCTGTTCGATTGACAACTTGTAGAGCTACAGGCATTATTGCTGCAGGTACTGCCAGAAGGACAGTCGCCGTCAAGGCGGCAGAAGCTTGGCGAAACAACACAGGCACCGCTAGAACAGGTCTGACCCGAGATACAGTCGGAAGTCTGGGTGCACCCGGCAGTCTTGGCAACGCAGATTTGATACTGAACGTTGCAGCTGCGATCAGGAGAACAATCGCTATCGCTGGCACATGTATCGGGCACATCAGTATCACAAACGCCAGTGGCAAAATTGCACGATTGTCCGGCGAAACAGTCGTCATCAATATAGCATTGCTTGGTTCCAATTTGCTGGCATACATGGAGGAGAGTGTTACAGGCAAGAGTAGCCGGGCAGTCTTGGTCTTTGCTGCAAGCGAGGGGACCTCGGAACAAGCAATCGACGGCGTCGGTATCGCAATACAGTCCTGCGGGGCAGTCAACATTGGTTTGGCAGTCTGGCGGCAAGACGGTGCAAAGACCAGTGGAGCTGCAGGTTTGTCCAGATGGGCACTGGGAGTTGATCAGGCAATTCTGAGGGGGGGCAGTGCAGAAACCGTAAGTGGTATTGCAAACTTGCCCAGGAGTGCAGTCACTTGTCTGGACGCATTGAGCTGGAGAAATTGCCAGGCAGGAACCAGAAGTATCATCGCAGGAATACCCGCCCGGGCAGTCGCCAGTAGATGAGCAAGCGACTGGATCCTGGGGCACACATATGTGGTTGACCGAGTCGCATCTGGCGCGGGCAGGGCATTCGGTATCATCACTTTGGCAGGCGAAGGCGCCGATGAACTGGCAGTTCCCGCTGGTAGCGTCACAAAGCTGGCCGGGATAGCAATCCGTGTTGACCTGGCATAAGGCCTGAGTCGTAGGTCCCAAGATGCAAGAACCATCTGTACCGCAAGTCACACCGGAAGGACAGTCAGAGTTCTGGGTGCATTTGGCAGCGGCAGCAGCACAAATGTTGAACTCATAGTTGCAAGTTTGGCTTTCGGGGCAGTCGGCATTCCTTAAGCACGTCTGCGAGCCAGGAACCAGGCAGTACCCGTTGATACATGAGTAGCTGGCTGGGCAATTTCCATCCTGCAGACAAGTAAGTTCCTCCTGGGGCTCACAGATGTGAAGATCGGTGTTGCATATGGAATTCTGAGGGCAGTTATCGGTTGAACGGCAAGGCACATGTCCAACGAATTGGCACTTCGAACCAGAGGCACAACGCTGCCCGATGGGGCAATCATTGTTGACCTGACATTGAGGGAGGGGAACCTCACAGTTACCCTTAGTACCACAGATTTTGCCAGATGGACACTGAGCGTCCGCGGTGCATTCAACGGGTGCGGCAACGCAGATGTTCGACGAGGAACACACCAAACCCACGCCGCAGTTTGTTCCAGCCGTGCAAGGTGTGGGAGCCCGAGTCACACACACGCGTGCGCTGACGTTGCAGACCTGGCCTGAGCGGCAATCTGTATCTGCGCTACAAGGTAGGGTGACAAATAGTTCACAGACCTTGTACTGGTTATTGCAGCGATTTCTACCGGGACAATCATAGTCGTTACCACAAGGGATTGGACCAGTGTTCCGGCATGCGCTGGCCGAAGTGTCGCAGATCTCACCAGGATAGCAGTCCGAGTTGACTTGACAGACATCAGGCGAGACCACGCAAATGTTGTCGGTATTACAAGTCTGTCCATCATCACAGTCTGTTGGCACCTGGCAACCTTTGACAACAGGGGTACAGACGCTACCGGCACCGCAAATTTCTTGTCTCGGGCAGTCGGTGTCCAGGCTGCAAGAAATGGGCTTGCCAACACAGAACTGGCGGATCTTATCGCACTGCTCGCCCGTAGGACAGTCACCATCCGCAGAGCAGCGAGTGGGAGCGACAGTCTGGCAAGTATTAGTAATGCACTTCTGGCTAGGAGCGCAGTCATTATCGACACTGCAAGGGCCGGGAATCGATGGCTCGCAGACGTGGAAGCGTGTATTGCAGACAAGTCCGGAAGGGCAGTCGCCAGTTCTATCGCAAGGAACGGGTCCAATATCCTGGCAAGTGCGAGTGTTCGTATCGCAGAACTGACGCGAGGGACAATCTGAGGTGCCGCGGCAGAGGGTGGGCGAGACAACGCAGATGTTCTGAGGGTTGCAGTACTGGCCGGTTGGGCATTGCCTAAAACCGTCGCAGCTCGTCGGCCCGGCCACGCATATTCGGTACCAATTATCGCAAACTTGCCCAGGAGAGCAATCTGTGTTAACGGAACAACCCACGGTGCGGGTCTGACAAACATGAGCGGCCTTGTCACACTTTTGGTAACTGGGGCAGTCGCCGTCACTCTGGCAATAGCCTGGCTTGACTTCCTCGCAAACCCGGTTGTTGAAATTGCACACATGGCCGGCTGGGCAGGCAGTGTTGGAATCACAGCCCGTGGGACCGATAGCCTTGCAGGTCTGCGCTGGTACATCACAAGCATAGCCCCAGGGGCAGTCACGATTGCCGCGGCAGAGGAGAGGCGCGTTGACGCAAATATTGTGTTTGCAGGACTTGCCTTGTGGGCAGCCGTCGTCTGTCTGGCAGCCAACAGCCAGAGGAACACAAATCTTGTAGTCGTTGCAAAAGTCGCCGACAGGGCAGTCGGTGCTAACCATGCAGCCGGTAGTTCGAGGAACACATGTCTTGCTGCCACTATTGCAAACCTCGTAAAATGGACAATCTTCACCGTTCTGACAAATTCTGGGGAGAACAGTGCAGATGCTTTGGTCATTACAGCCCTGTCCAAAGGCACATTCTGTGCTTGACTTGCAGCTCTTGGGACCGCACACCTTATTGGGACCACATGCCTGCCCAGGGCAATCTATATCTTCCTGGCAGAGGACGGGCAGAACAATGCAGATGCCATAGTCGTTACAACGGTGTCCGAAAGGGCATTGTGTGCTTGATGTGCAGCCCACAGTCTGGGGGACGCAATTCTTGTTTCCATTGCAAATTTGGCCATTCTGGCAGTCTCCATTGGACTGACAGATGGCAGGCAGGGCAACGCACACATGCCGCTCATCGCAACGCTCTCCGAAAGGACAGTCCGTGTTGTACTGGCAACCGAGGGTCCGAGGGACGCAAATATTATGGTAATTGCAAACGTCCCAAGGAGAGCAGTCTGAATTGGATTGGCAGCCAAACTTCTGGGGAACGCAGATCTTTCTGTCGTTGCAAATGTGCTCAGCGGGGCAGTCTGTAGTGGACTGGCAGCCGAACTTTTCGGGAACACAGATATTTCTATCGTTGCAAATATGACCGAAAGCGCAATCTTTGCTGGAGGCGCAGCCAAGGGTGGGAGGGTGACAGAGACGAGTGTTGATGTCGCAGAGGTGGTTGATTGGGCAGTCACCATTGGTATTGCAGTATGGACCTGAAAGTCGTGTGCAGAAACCTCCAACACAGACCTCACTGGGGTTACAGGGCCTGTTGTCTGAGCCGCATTGCGCAGGGTTGCTGAGTGGAATACAGTTGCCCAGAACACAGACAGAATTGGCGGGACACTGGTTTCCGTAGGCATCGCATAGGCTAGGAGACGCGAAGGGGATGCAAGTCCCATCAATGCAGATGAAGCCAGGAGGGCATGGGCCGTTGTAGTCGGAGGACACGAGGTCTTTGCCTCCGAGCTTGCAGGTGACCGGGTTTCCAATGGTGATACACTTGCCGTGGATGCAGGCACTGCCGTCACCACAGTCAGGGTCGCACTGGGCAGGCGGTCTTCCAACAGGAACACACCAGCCGTCGACGCAGACCTCATTGTTCCTGCAATTACCGCCACAGTTCTCAGAACCATGGGTGTTTATGCGGACGCAGTTGCCGAGAATGCAGACGCTATCGCGATCACAAGCGTGGCCGTCGGCTGGGCAGTTGTTGGAATCGCCCTTGATATCCACACAAACTCCAGAAATGCATAGCCTTCCAGGGCCACAGTCAACGTTCTTGCACTTGGAGGAATCTCGATAGACGACAACAGGCTCGCAAGATCCATCGACACACGCATGCCCTGGTCCGCAGACTTTGCCGCTGCAGTTGTCAGGTGTCTGGAAAACCTCAACGACATAGCAATTGCCACTGCAGCAAAGGTTGTTTGCTGGGCAGGCATGGCCTGGACCGGCGCAGTTGTTCACATCACCAATGATATCCACGCAGAAGCCATCCATATAGACCTCGCCATTGCGGCAATAACCCTCCGTTGGCCAGTAACAGGTACCGTCACCTGGGCGGGGTGCTGGAGCGTCTGGGGCCCAGGATCCGACCGTCATACGGCGGTTGTCATAGTTGGTGAAAGGGCCAAGATTGCTGTCCGATGGCCATCCATCGCTCTGAGGGCTAGGCGCACCTTCAGAGCTAGGAGCGTCTTGTTTGTTTCCACTACCACCGTGGTCGGAAGAGCCCTCGCATGAGCTTAGAACGGCAGCGGAGGCATCTCCAAAGCCACCAATGCACACTCCAGAAATACAGACCTTGCCGGCGTCACAAGCCTTGCCAGACGTGCCGCAGGCAGAGCCGTCGGTGCTGATATGGATGGCGATGCATTTTTGGTCGAGGCTCACAGACCCAGGTTCGCACGTCTTGCCCTTGGCATCTGCGATATTCAAGTCAAGGCAGCTGCCAGACACGCAAACGCTGCCGGCCTCGCATGCCTTTCCCTCGGGGCCGCAGTACAGAGGATCGGTGCCAATGATAACGGGCTGGCACACGTTCTTGTCACACTTGTTGCTATAGGGACATTCCTCGTTCTTTGAACAGGATCTGACGCTCGAGCCGATAGTGATGGGGGTACACGCGTCATTGAGACACACATGTCCGGGGGAACATTCTTTCTTATCGGGGCCGCAGCAGTTCGCGTCGTCACCGTAGTTGATTGGAAGGCAGGCTCCGTTGATACAAAGCTCTCCGGCTTTGCACTTTCCACCTTTGCCGCACGTCAAGGGATTGGCGATGATTTCGATCGGGTCACAATTTCCGTTGTTACACCACTGTCCGGGCCCGCAGGCCGTCTTGCTGTCTCCGCATTGGTCGTGGTTGGCTCCAAGCTTGAGAGGAACGCAGCTTTCGGCGATACACAATTCTGCGGCTTTACAGCTCTTCCCTCCACAGCTGTCGGGGGTGATGCTGATGAGCACAGGCGTCCAGTTGTTGCCAACGCAGATGACGTCCTTGGAATATGAGTCCCTCGGGGCAATGTCTGCTGAAACGAAGGATAACGCATGTGCGGCAAAGGATGCCAGGAACAAACTGGTTCGCACCATCTTGGCTGTTTTCTTCAACCACGATGACACGATCCGCACAGCACAAAGGTTGGCGACATTAGTCGAGAGAGAAGAAAGCGAGACTAGTGGAAGCCGACGACGAGCCAAGCATATTATTTATGGCAATTGTCTCTCTGGTAGTCTCTTGGGAGCGTGTAGGCAAAGAAGCAGTCGGGCAGACTCTGATAGCTAGTCCCAACCAAGTTTGGACAGGACGATCGAGGGGTGTGTGTTCTGGCATGCCCCCTACCAGCATACTTTTACATCATGCCGTTAACGTCCCAGTTGCTAGGTTAGCCTAAGTTGAGGCTACTTCTTTCTTCACCTTGCCTGGCGATGGTAGAGTGGTAGCTGGGGCTGGCCCACGCGATTAACCCATGTCTTGTCGAGTTGGGTTCTCCAGATCGACTGCCAAGACAGCCACCTCGCAGACTTTCTTCTACCTCGTGCCCACTTCTCAGGCGCCCGACATCCCATCCTAGGCCGTATGCGAGCGCCTAGGTAGGGTGAGGTCGAAAGTCAAATCGCATTTCCACCTGAGGGTAAAGAAGAGACGACAAATGTCAGTCCTTGGTAGCGCCATCTGACATGCTCAGGCCCTAGCCAGGGCTGGGCATGACACGGCAACCGTCTGTTTTCGGATGTGAGTTGTGCTGCACGTTGCCCTAACGTGAGACGGAAGCCACTGCCAGACGAGGAGCTCCACTAGGTACTCTCTTTAGACATACAGCGACGCTTGAGCAGAGCTTGGTTCAGCCTACTCATAGGCCACTGCTTTTAAGCGGGCTCTCAGGACTCGCTACCTTGTCGTGGGTCAGCATCCGAGGATGCCTCGGGTCAAGGCGATGACCTAGACGCGTGTCAGACGCGTCCCGTTTCTGCTTGCAAGTTCGCCTTCATGGTCCCCAGAGGAGCCTGGCAAATATCGATCAAATGGCCATTATGCTGGGAATCACATTGGGTTGTCCACCATCTATCCTTGGTAGTCTGGTAATGCCCTGCTCACGTGTGGATATTCGCGTTAACCGCGGCGGGTGATGCCTGCCGCAGCCCTCGTTGTTTCACATGTGGACGGGAGGATCGCGGCGCGATGCTAGCGAGATTACAACAGCGATTGCCAGCCGAGTCGCAACAGATGCGGATTCGGCATTTGCTCGACGTCTGGGGAAGTCGAATGTAGGTTTGTTTGAGTAAGGTTTTTGGGCGATGGATCTTCGTCTGTCCTGCCTTCCTCATTCGCCATAGCTCCCAAGCCCATTCCCCCTAACAGCGCCCTAGCAGCGCCCTAACAGCGCTCCCCTCAGTGAGCTCTAGGGCCTAAGCGACGCTAGATCGGAGCCTACTCCACTGAAGAAAACCTCAATTATCGCCGAAAACATCGAAATCTTTAGCGACCCGGTCGACATTGGCATGTTCGGATGCTTCACCCAACCGTTTGACTTCTTTAGCTCAATAACCCCCTCAAGGAGATCCACCTGCCTGCCGGCTGCGGACATGTCTCTTCACCCTCTTGGCCGTGTTCCATCCCCAACCCTCAAGTTCGCCTCACACCAACCAATGCGCCTCGTGTTGACATATCGGCAGGAAAACCTCACCCTTTACATTCCAGCATATTTTGAGGCCTCTTAATCTGTGGGCTTGATCGACTTTGTAGTTTCTTGAAAGATCAGACACTTACTTTCTATATTTGGCCCGATAGCATTCTTCTATCTGAATAGTCTTTATACTACCACATATAGATCTCCGCCTACATGCAATTCTCCAATATGTTCACTGAATGGCATGCCAGCAAGCCTCACAGAACTTGCATTTGAAACTGAGAATCTTCCTTCTCTACTAGACCTAAGGGAACTTCCCTGCCATTCTAGACCGACCTAGCATATCGGCCATACCTCCAAGGGAACTGGAATGTTGGCTCCCTCTATGGGACTTGATAGAATGCTAAAGGAAATTGGCAACATGACAACAAACTAGATCGAGAAATGGTCTCGCACTAATCACCTTCCGTAGTTTGTAACGCTTGTATGACTCATGTTTCCCAGATCTTGCCTCGACTACAAATTATCCGGGGAAGATGATATGGTTCCAGCGTTGTCAACTGAGACATGCCGTGTCGAATCTTCAGTGCCAGGTCGGTCATGGACGCTCTTGGCTATTCCCATGTGCTTTTTTAAGTTTAAAGTTAGATCTTTTGCTCCATAATATGAGATCTCAGGTCAGAAACTCCTAAAATTTGAAGGTTTCCCTTTCCGCATTGGTTCCTAGCGTCGGCAAGAGGACACTTCCGCCCAGATCAAACATACCGCAATGACACTAGACATACCAAGCCATCTCTACATCTCAAATAAAGCTTTCGACTAAGATGGAAGCATTTTTTGAGGTCAGTGAGAAATAGAGGTGCCTAATTCCGCAGTCATTACAACTACAGTCTACGTATTTCTTTTCTATTATGTCAAAAAGCTTTTGGAGGTATCACCTAAAACGGGTATTAGGATAAACCACCAGGGCTGTAGGTAGTACATTCAACTTGGTCGACTGTTTCGTCGGTCGCCGAGGGGGTGATCGCCATTTAGTCCTGCTCATTGGAAAGTAAGTAGAACATGGCGATTGAGCGTTTAAAACAATATCTATGGAAGCAGCTCTGTTATACTCTTGGATCATTTGCTGTTGTCCGCCAGGGTCTCTACCTATATGCAATTGCTGATGTGATGGGAAGATAGTGCCATCAGTCGGAACCAAGTCGCATGGCGACCCCTGCACTACCACGGTACTACAAACGGTGAACTATCATGACCACGGAAATGTCTAAAGGGACATGTAGAAGAAGATAGAAATGGAAACGAAGAAAGGATTGAGGGGCAAGCAGGGCCTTCTCCTCTTTGTTGGGCACCTTTACCAACCCAAAAACGGCCGATACTCGTGGGCTAGAACCATTGCACCAACTGGGTACATAGAAGTCGTTTCTTTTATCAAATTTGCAAAGGGGTCTCCATCCATATCGAAAATAGAATCCAGGAGCTATTGCTCCATTCTAGTTAAAGTGGAAAGTGGGCGTGTAAAACCGCAATCCACATGGGAATGTTGACTTGACGAGGACGGAGGCGGGCAAGGAACTTTGTCAGCCCACCATGATTTCTCTTTACGACTAGCATCCCTACGACTTGTTCATTTTTGCCATTGCTGAGAATTCCTGCGAGCTTCCCCCCTTAGCTAAGATTAAAGAGAGTTAACTTAGTGCGATACTAAGTATCTCCTCTTGAAACGCACATGCCTTTGCTATCATTGGGTCGATTAAGCTTATCTACCCCAATATTCGTCACAAATAGTCACAGTCGCCACATATGTGTACTTTTCGTATTTCCTGTTGCTTTGGAAAGGGCATAACTCTGTGTGCCATGAGAATAGGTGCTACTTTTCACCTGAGGTATGCAATTTCCCGTACATTAGCCTCCACAATGTTTATAATGGGCAGAAGATATGTGTTGATTTGAGGCTTTGCTATTTCCAAAGCTGCAAATACCGCTGCATAATATGTCGATTGAAAGAAGTAAGTGGGCGGGAAGTTTTAGATTCATGTGTTGATTGTTTCTTTTTCGATCAAAAGCGTTACAGGCGAGAAGAGACCTGACTAGTTTCAAGAAAGGAACATTGCTTTGATCAGAACAACGGCTTATAAAGCCCTAGAGGGATATCATTGGAGTTCACCATGTATGCTCCAAGAGAGAGAACATAAAGCCGTTGATATAGGGTGAGTTCGGTTCTTAATAATCCTCGAGTGATCACTCCTGATGGAGTTCTGGATTTGGCTGAGATTTGGGTCGTGGAACTAAGAGCCAACCAATAGTCATTGCCACAAGGAGGGCTGTTAGAATAGGCTGAAGAACTTGGACTCCCGCAGACGAGGCAATGACACCAGTTATAATGGGGAAGAGAGAGCCTCCCATTTGAGCGAAGACGAAGATGAAGGCAAGCGCAGTTGAGTGAGACTCGGCCGAGAAGAGCTTTGAGCCCATATTCATACCCTGAAATACCTCAGTGTGATGTTCAAAGAACTAGACATCAATGCGATGGATACTCCAAAACTTACCGTGGCAAAGAAAGGCCCCGTGAAGAATCCGATGAAACTCACTGCAACGGAGGCAGCGATGATGTTGGGTACCCTGTATGCGTAAATTAAACACTTGGCACAATTCTGAGGACTTCAACGCCGACTTACAACCAGAAAACAAGCTGCAGCCCAACTGCTAGTACACAATAAATGAGGACCATCCGGCGCTCTCCAAGACGATAAGTAGGCTCCGCGAGAAGCAGCCGCCCAAGTAAACAACCTCCCTAAAACGAACAGAATCCCAGATTAACGGGAAGATCAAATGGATGAAGTAGATAGAATGAACATACATTGAAACCGGCAGGCACAAAACCCATCTGTGCAAGCTTACCATCCCGAACATCGACAAGGTACTCGACCATCCAGCCGCTCATTGTGATTTGAGATCCAATGTAGAAAAAGTAGAACATGCCAAGCAGCCACACGTTGCGGCCAGTAAGAATATCCTTGATCAGGCGGATGGCATCTTTGTTTTTGGAGGTTTCCCCAGCAGCCATATCTTGGGCTTCTGAAGTATCATCAGCAGTCCTAGGTTGAGGCTCGACACGCATAGAATCCCGAAACGCCCAAAGAATCAAAGCCAGGTTGACACAGCCAATGGCAGTGGGAAATGTGTAGAAAAGGTACCACTGCGAGTTAGTGCCAGCAGTCGCCACGCCTGTAGCAACGAATGGTCCAATTAGACATCCAGCCATATATGAGGCGTGGATAATTGCCAGCCATCGGTGAGCCCCCTTGATGCTAGCAGCGAAAGTATTGGCGTGGGAGTCATTATAAGCCTGCCCAATGGATACAAGGAAGAAGGTAGTGACGAAGAGACCAAATGGAGGCATCCATGCTCGCAGGGCATGGCTGATGATCTGAAAGGCAGCTCCAAGGGCGAGCATAGAGCCCAGGCCAAAGTACTGGCACAAGTGGGTGTTGGATACTGCGGCGAAAAGCCAGCCAGCGAACTGAGCGGCGTAACTAAGTTTAAGCATTTCATATTAGCGGGGGTTCGACGCGTGAAACATAATTCTTTTGGGTGAGTTTATTCCATAGAGACGGGATTGAAAGATCTTACATGCTTGATACGAGGGCAGTGCTAACACGGTAATCGCGAATTAAATAGGGAATAATGGCTCCAACGCTGCCATCGTTGACCCCAGCTACCATGAAGGAGAAGCTAGCACTGATAAGTTTCAGAATAGTCTTTTTGTCTAGTCGAGTGTTTTGGCCGCTGCCAGATTCAGGAGGTTGCAGCTGTGAGGACGTCGCGGTGTTGCTGGTCTCCGTCTCCTGCTGGCGGTGAGACCACTGAGAAAGCTCATAATGGCCGGGCTCCTCTAACACCGTTTGAATAGTCGTAGACATTGTTGCAGAAGAGATGAGAATCAAGAATAATGGTAGAAAAAGCAGTTGCGAATCATGTCAGCAGGCCTGGGATTCTTGAATCAACAAAGCACCGTATGGCTCAATGGGAGTAATGAACTAATAATTATCTGGGGTGCGGGAGATGACATCTTTGTATTATCCCCGGAACTCCAGTTTTATTATTAATCTTAACCAAACCCCATGTTCTATGCTCATCTTGTGTAAATCTTCGGCGGTCCGTCGGACCAACTCCGTCCACTCCTCGGAGGAAGCGCGGTTAGGCTCACCTAAATGGCTTCTGCGGATGATTACTCATTTAGGATATTCCGCATCACCAATTCAGGGAATAATCCTCGTTTCATAACTCATATCCGGTGGTATTGTTATTACAGATGCTGATCCAAAATGAATTCTGCAGCTTTGAGCTGTTCGTTCTCAGCTAGTTCATTCTACATATCTACATATTGACTATCATCCCAATATGGAGTCCTCGTTTTTTTGGATCAACTATCTACTACCGAGATTGATTGGTTGAATTGTGACCTCGCTATGCGCCTTAAAATATAAGGCGTAACACCTATCAAAGTTAAAAAAAAAAAAAAAAAGAATGGGCCTTTCGCCTGTTGAGAAAAGATGGCAGGTGCTGAAATGTTACGTGGCACACTAAAGGTCTATAATAATAAGAGAATAATAACTTATTCTATAAAGGTATAGCTTGACATTGTGTTTATTGCTTGATTTTTTGTTTTGATATTGTGTAATAATTATGTTAAGAATGAGGTTCTTGGTGCAACATGTGTATGTCAGTCGCTGAGCTTGGTCATCGCTTTGTGAGAGCTGATTTAGCCTTCCTCGTCTGTGTCTTCCTCTTCGTCTGTGTCTTCTTCCTTTTGTTGTGAGACATATTGGTTCTCGATGGCCATGTGAACTTGGCGAGCTATTTCTGTGGCTAGTGGACCATTAATACCCTGATCTTCTCGTCCACATCCATATCTATAAGATACCAAGGAGGTACTTCTAAAAGTAGATTTTTTCGAATTTCTCCACCTAATATACTACTCTTAGTATATATAACTTTGTACCCTTATAGATTACTGTAGCCCCCTTATTAGATTAGTAAAAAACGCGTTAATATATTACTTATAGCACCCGTATAAAGCCCTTTATA